TTGAAAAAAGGGTTGACGAAATGTCAACAAGAATACAAAATTTAGAGAGGAAAATAAGTGAATTGACGGAGCTGAAAAACACAATAGGAGAACTACGTGAAGTATGCACAAGTTTTAACAGCCGAATTGATCAAGCAGAAGAAAGGATATCAGAGGTCGAAGACCAACTTAATGAAATAAAACTAGAAGACAAGATTAGAGAAAAAAGGATAAAAAGGAATGAGCAAAGTCTCCAAGAAATATGGGACTATGTGAAAAGACCTAATCTACACTTGATAGGTGTACCTGAATGTGATGAAGAGAATGAATCCAAGCTGGAAAATATGCTTCAGGATATTATTCAGGAAAATTTTCCCAACTTAGTAAGGCAGGATAATATTCAACTCCAGGTAATACAGAGAACACCACAGAGATATTCCTCAAGAAGAGCAACTCCAAGGCACATAATCGTCAGATTCACCAGGGTTGAAATGAAGGAGAAAATACTAAGGGCAGCCAGAGAGAAAGGTCAGGTTACCCACAAAGGGAAGCCTATTAGACTTACAGCAGATCTCTCAGCAGAAACCCTACAAGCCAGAAGAGAGTGGGGACCAATATTCAACATCCTTAAAGAAAAGAACTTTCAACCAAGAATTTCACATCCAGCCAAGCTAAGCTTCATAAGTGAAGGAAAAATAAAGTTTTTTGTGAACAAGCAAGCACTCAGAGAATTCACCACCAGGCCTGCTCTACAAGAGCTTCTGAAAGAACCACTACACATAGAAAGGAACAAACAGTATCAGCCTTTCTAAAAAATACCAAAAAGTAAAGAACATTAATATAATGAAGAATTTATATCAACTAATGGGCAAATGGCAGTATTAAACTCACATATATCATTATTAATTCTAAATTTAAATTGACTAAATTCCCCAATTCAAAGACAGACAGCCAATTTGGACAAAAAACTAAAACTGTATGCTGCATCCAGACCCATCTCACATTCAAGGATACACAAAGACACAAAACAAAGGATGGAGAGAGACTTACCAACTAACCAGAGAGCAAAAATAAATAAATAAAAAGCAGAAGTTACAATTTTTGCCTCTGATAAAATAGTGTTTAAAGTAACAAAGATCAAAAGAAGCAAAGAAGGACATTATATAACGATAAAAGAATAAATGCAAGAACAAGAAGAGTTAAAGGTCCTAAATATATACGCACCCAATACAGGAATACCCAGACATACAAGACTTATAAAGAGACTTAGACTCCCACATAATAATAGTGGGAGACTTCAACATTAATAAGACAGATCAATGAGACAGAAAATTAACAACGATATCCAGGACTTGAACTCAGATCTGGAACAAGTAAACGTAAATAACATTTATAGAACTCTCCACTTTACACAAAATATACACTCTTGTCAGTACCACATCATATCAACTTAGAAGTTTAAACGAAATGTTGGTTGGCTCCTTGTTTGTTACTCTCTTCCCTCATTTTCTTTCATGTCTCCATTATTAAGGACAATTGTAGGCATACCCATATTTAGACTGCATTCTAGCCTGGGCAACAAAGCAATACCCCTATTCTCTCTCCCTCTTCCTCTTTCTCTTTCTTCCTCTTCTTTAAAAAAAAAAAAAAAAAAAAGTTAGGTGAGGGTGGAATTCCAGGCCTCAGTTGGTCTTTGCTGGAAGGGATGGGGTGAGGCTGTAGTGTTTTTCATGTGGTGTTTGGCTAGAGCCATTTCGGTTTAAAAGAAGTTTTCCTTTTTACTAGGTTGCCCTTTCCCTGGTATGCTGGCAACAGCGAATAGATTTCTGTTGAGGTTTTGGCTGCCTGTTAGCACTCTTCGGTTAATGGCTTATTCAGCTCCAAGGCTAGTGTATAGAAGGCAAAAAGAAAAACCAGGGAACTCACTACTTGTATGTTTGCTAGGAGTGCCGTGACAAAATACCAGAGAGTGGGTGGCTTAAACAACAGAAATTCCTTTTTCTCACAGTTCTGGAAGCTACAAGTCCAAGATCAATAGGTGGCGACAGGTTTGGTTTCTCCGGCGGCCTCTCTTGTGGGCTAGGAGATGGCTGTTTTCTTGCTGTGTTCTCACATGGTCTCTCTGTGCACGCGTACCTCTGGTGTCTAAATTCCCTCTTCTTATAAGGACACCAGTCAGACTGGATTAGGGCTTACCCTAAAAACCTTCTTTTAACGTAATCACCTTCAGAGGCCTAATCTCTACAGTTACATTCTGATGTCCTGTGGGTTAAGACGTCAACATAAATTTTAAGGCGACACGGTTCAGCTCATATCAGCACTGCATTCTTCCTCAGGTCCTGAGGTCCTGGCTGATCTATTTTTTTCTATCTACTTTTAGCATCTTATGCTTGTTTTATATATAATGTCCAGAATTTTTTATTGTACTTAAAAGGACGATGAGGGAAAGTACGTCTCCATCTTCTAAAAATGGTAATCTCTTCCTTGCATTTTTCTTTATATTTATTGAAAAACTGACCTTCCCCTCATTAGGACATGGTAGAGCCCCTATATTGACTCTTATATCCTGAAATTCTATACCACATCACATTAGTTTACCTTCAAACAAAATGTATATAAGATACAGACAATACTGCTGGGATTTCTCTTTAAAATTCAGCAGCACCAAAATAACAAGACTTTTTAAAAACAGTGATGTTCTTGATAATAACATCTTTACTTTTTTCCTTCCCACAACACAGCTGTAGATAAAAATGACTCTTGTTCTCCAATGTGGCCAAGGTACAAGCAGCACACAATCAGGCAGGGCTTTTTAATGCGGAGAAAACATGTGGTTTAACCCTGGTGATTAGTGTTGCTGCTAACTCTGAAGCACAGTGCATTACAACCCAGACACTGTGGCATCAGTTCTCAGGGTAATATAACCTTTCAATTTCCTACAATTTCCTATCAAAGGTAACAACCAACCGCTGAGAAAATCTGCATAAAAAAAATCACTTTAAACAGACGAACTGAAATGTTAAAACTCACAACTCTTCTGCCTTAGGAAACTGCTGAGGATGTTCTAGATTTCCCAGTCTTCAGATACCAAACTATAGCTTCACAGTTATCACCAGACCAGCATTTCTCTCAACACACCTTTTGGGCTGAAAACAAAGTCACGTAACTAAGAACCATGAACCAGAACGAACGGTGGCCCAGGCAGCGCCAGAGCTGTCATCAGAAACGCCATCAGGGCTGGCAGAGGATTATGCCACAAGTCACAAGAGTCTACCTGGGCCAGTGGGCTGGGCTCAGTATCTAAGAGGGTGTAGTGGAAATCCAGTGTATTCACTCTCTAATTTGCACCTTGCTTAAGCCCGCTGTGGCTGTCACTGAAGTTCGTAAGGGCAGTTGTACCAGTCTCATCCCTGCAAGCAATAGCAGTGACGCCTCAACCGGGAGCCAATCCTGAGATGCAGGGGCACCACTGTGTTAGTCCGTTCAGGCTGCTGTAACAAATACTTCAGATTGGGCAATTTTAATTCTGGAAGCTGGTAAGGCCAGGATGTAGGTACTGGCAGATTTAGTGTCTGGTGAGGGCCTGTTCCTCATAGATTGCACGTTCTTGCTGTGTCCTTACATGGCAGAAAATGCAAAAAAGCTCCCTTGGGCTCCTTTTGTAGGCATTAAAGGGCTCTGCACTCATGGCCTAATCCTCTTAAACACCCCACCTCTTAATGCTATTGCATTGGGAATTAGGTTTTAACTCATGAGTTACGGGGGGACACAAACATTCAGACCACAGTAACCATGCTCTGTCTACCCATTCATCTTTTCCAGACCTCTCAACTCCACTTCCCTCTCTTCCCAGGACATTCACTGGGAATTAACCTTACACTATATCCTTGACACATTACTTCTTTCTTTAGGGTGAATTAGATATAAGTCCTCTTTCCCTTCCCCCTCCCTCCTCTGAAAATGTTTTATGAAAATCACAGGGAAGAAAATCAAAAGAATGAATCCCATGGAAGAATTCCACATACTAACTAGTAAGTAACAAGGTAAGAGAATTCTGGACCCTGGTGCCTTTAGGTTCTCCCAAATTGCACCTGCACAGCCTAGCCCCCCAAGATTCCCAGCTTTCCCTGGTCTACACCCCTTCTTTGACACCTTGGCCACCATTAGCAGTTCCCAAATAAGCTTCCCAGCTCTATTCATCCTATCTCAGTAAACGGCATATCACTTACTTCTGGCCAAAATAACTACAATTATAAATAAGAAACTATCTGATTTCTCTTTCTCTCTCACACCACATCCAATCCAGCACTGGCCCTAGTTCCAGAATCTTCTGGAGAATTTAGCATGACAAAGAAACAAAACCACATCATCTTCTGCCCTGCCCAAGATTGTGATTCCAAAAATATGTCTAAATAAGAAGAATCCCAAGGTGGGGATTCACAACCGTGAAGGACAAGAAAATCTAGCTTACACTGGTCAGGTATCTTAGGATTTCTCATTTGATACATAGAAACCTTTATCCTCTCAGTGCCTGCTCGGGTTTGTGCAGCTCTCAGGCACAGCCAATCTACTTGGAAAACGCGGAGCTTTAACTTATCGCATTGTCCTTCCCACTTATTAGGAAGAAAAACAAAATGCTAACACTAAACCTTGAAAGGGTTCTTACTGAAAACAAAAGCTCTCAAAAGTTTTCCCTCAAGAAGCCTAGTTCACAAATCTCTCCAGAGAAGACAATTTGCATCTCTTTTTCTCCACCTGGTCTATGTTGTCAAAGGACACAAAAATAATTCTAACCCTGGCTAAGATCTGAAAACTTCACATGACAGTTAATAACTGTATGCATACACTCAGCCCAAGTAGCATAAAATTGTTTTCAATAGCCACATATCAAATTACATAGTGCACAAACCTGGATGTTTTCAGAATTTTCTTTTACACAAAATTCCCCAATATTTTCCTTAGAAATCCAACAAGTCCTATGCAAAGCAGAAAGACAACTTTTAAAACTGAAAGTCCATGACTGGTGAGTTTCAAGTGTTTTATTAAAATAGCATATTTAACCATGGTTAACCAAGAATATGTTAACTTTGTCCCCCCCCCCACCTCCCCACCTGCCCCAAATACACAGCACAACACAGTAGTGATTTCAAATATCCTTGATCATGATAACCAATAGAAATATTTCAAAGTCAAGTTTGCAACTAAAAAGTAGACCTTGGAAAAACTCTGAATTAAAAGAGAAACATAAAGCTCTCAAACAGAATTCTTTTATCTGCCCTAAAATCAATGCCGGGGCACCACCTACCTGACAATACTGCTGAGATTTCTCTTTATGCATAGTATAACGACTCATTTATTAAGTACCCACTTTTATAAATAAAATCACCATTTTTCGTCCCGTTTAATGTTCCTTTTCAGCTTCACAAAGAAACCAGTAAATAAAACTGTCAACGACAGTCACAACATATGCTCTCACAGCAAGATAAAAAACTTGAAAATACGCAGAGATGCATCTACGCTATTTTACATAAAAAGAGAGATTCAAAAAGTGCAAGGCAAAATCTGCAGTTTTTTGAGGGGAGCTTTTAGGCACATCCATTTCATTAAAGCAAGCTTCAGAATGAAATTCCAGTTTGTTCTTCATGACACCTGTTAAAGTCTTTCTTTAAACAACAACAACAAAAAAAGCCAGAAATACATCCCATCAAGTGTCCAACGGTAGTCTTGTGTCCTGAAAGTGAGGAGTTCAGTTGTGACGAGTCCGTCCTTTCTTTATTCTGGCAGGCTTTGGTTTGGGGATGTACTGATTATTTGCCTGGTACTCGAGTTCTTTACGGAAGTAGTGAATTGCTTTGTTTAAACCTTCCTCCAGTGGGACCTGTTTAAAGGGAAGTCGAGAAAGAGACAAGGTCACACCGACAGAAGGGCATCGCAGGAAGGAAGTGCCAACTTGCAGCCAGTCAGGTCTCCTTCAGAGGAACACTCACAGAACCACGTTTTGGTCATGACAGAATCCAGCATCACCACCCATCGAGAGAAGCCAGAGGTCTTTCAGGGCTGCTTTCAGAATGTGCTGTACGACTTATCAAGGGTGACTCTAACTGATGTAAAGTGAGCTTCACCCCACAGAAGACCCCAACTATCTCCTGCTGGTACAATGTCTACTTCAGTTTGAATCGACTGCCAAGATTGTTTTTCAGACAATGCCCATGTGCCCCATTCTTTCAGAAGAAATCCACCTTGGAGTGGAGGGAATATGCTCTGGGAAGGTGATCTGCATCTGATCAACATGCCTGATTCTCCCACGTTGACATCAGCCCTTTGCACTGCCCGGCGGATCATGGCCCACTTGCACCCCCACCATCCTAAGAGGCTGAGTCTGAGAGGGGACCCACCACAGCCCATACCACAGAAAGCAACCTTCATCTGGAGCTGCCTTGCAGCCAGCAGGAAACAAGTCAGATCAACTGCTGATTAAGAGCAGACAGAGCAAAGGTGAAGGGAGGCACTGCCAAGGGGTGCTGGGGAACGCTGGGGGAGGTCTGTCTGTCAGCTTGACTGTGGCGATGGTTTCACAGGTGTCAAAACGGATGAAAACTTATCAAACTGTATCTTCTAAACATGGGCTGTTTGCAGTATGCCAATTATATCTCAACAAGCTGTTAAACACACACACTTGGGACAATTAAGATGGATAATGCCTGTAAGTTTCTTTGGATCATATCCCTCAAAATGTATTATAAATTAAAACTACTACTAGAAGAGAAACCAGTGGTAGATGGCTCACATTCCAAGAATGTTAGAATATTGTAGGTCAAAATTCCAGAAAAATAAAGATATTAAGCATACACACACCTCACATAAAAAGCAATAGTTAATACATAGTAAATGCACATTTAACTCTTCAAAAAATATTTTGTTTAAAATATAGGTTCTCCTTACAAAGGGACCAACAGCCCCCTACAAAGCTTCAAAAAACAAGAAACTACCTATGCTGCTACAACTTGTTTTACACAGCTCGTGATTACTAGATTTTGTGAAGTCTGGGTCTAACTGTATTTTAATTTCATTCAACAAATTTCTGTGGCTTTTTAGCAGATCACTTAGACTTGTACATCACAGAATAAAATAAGGATCAGGCTGGAACTCTCATGTCCTTTTAAAGTTCAGTACTCGAGGATCCTACTCAGCTCTTACTACCCACATTTCTTAAAGGTACACTGAGCTCTCCACTGCATCCCTGTCTCTCTGACTGTGCCACAACCCAGCGGTCATGCCAAGATGCTCCTACATTTGTTGAGCACCCAGTGTGTGTGTCCAGCTTGACAGCCGCCGGTCTCCTGCTGTACACAGGGACACACGTTGTGCCTGAGGGGAGCCTGAGTTTCAGCGGCATGCATGAGGGTGGGAAAAGATGGAACGGCCAGGCAGAGCAGACAGTAAACGAGGTGGACTTGCTTCTGTAGATGCGGCCGGCCCAGCCAACCTCCCGATACAGGTGGTCTTTAAAGCACACAGCCTCCAGACACAGGTGGTCTTTAAAACAGCCCTGGGGGTGAGCGTTCTCCAGCAGGGAGGAGCATACAGTCACCTGAGGCAGGAAGAGTGCCGCAGGCTCAGAGCAGAGGCGGGTGGGGTTCAGGCTCAGCCCCAGGGAGAGTGAGGCAGCCCCGCCCCCGCACAGGCCAGGCCAGAGTCTTAAGTCTACCACAACAGGAAGGCAGGCATGCAGTTTCCCTTCCTCCACACCCTTCAGTCTCACACACTTCCAACCAGGGGCTCTACTGCAGGGCTGATGTGGGCCACTCGCCCCTGACTTGGCCCCACACACTCGAGGCAGGGAGCCGGGGCTACGCAGGGTTGTGAGCATGCGCTGCCAGTGCCCTCGGCACGGCGTTAACGGAGTCAGCTGTATATGTGTGTGAGTATGTGTATGTGAGGAAGTGTATGTATATGGGAGCAGGAGTGTATGTGTGAACGTGTGTGTGTGTATGAGTTTGAATGTAAACGTGTGTATGAATGTGAGAATGTGTATGATAGTGTGAATGTATGTGTGAAAATGAGCATACATGTATAAGCGTGTCCGTATGACAGTGTGTATATGACTGTGAGTGTGAGAGAGACTGTGTGCTGTATGAGTGTTTGTATGATAGTGTATGTGTATGAGAGAGTGTAAGAATGTGTGTGACAGAGATTTTATAAAACCAGAGCCGGGCGCGGTGGCTCACGCCTGTAATCCCAGCACTTTGGGAGGCCGAGGCGGGTGGATCACGAGGTCAAGAGATCGAGACCATCCTGGTCAACATGGTGAAACTCTGTCTCTACTAAAAACTACAAAAAATTAGCTGGGCATGGTGGTGCGTGCCTGTGATCCCAGCTACTCAGGAGGCTGAGGCAGGAGAATTGCCTGAACCCAGGAGGCGGAGGTTGCGGTGAGCCGAGATCGCGCCATTGCACTCCAGCCTGGGTAACAAGAGCGAAACTCCGTCTCAAAAAAAAAAAAAAAAAAAAAAAAACCAGAGCCCAGAGCAGGGGCTTCCAGCTGCTTCCCAGGTAACATTCTCTGAGCTTCCTGATACAGGAGAAGCTATTTACCACTTGGAGAAACCCCTCTATCTGCCTGGATGCCAAGCCCGCCTCACTTCCCCAGGAACTACCTGACAAGGGTCAGTGCCTACAGCACAGCAGACACTGGACATGGGAGGCCCATCCCCACGAGGCAGCATTAACTCCCCACACTTACCACTGGCTCCCACCCCAGCATCAGCTTCGCTTTTTTGATGTCTGGTTTTCTTTTCTGTGGGTCATCCTGGGCTTCAGAAAGAAACTGAATTTCACTTCCGCTACCTGAGATGTTTAAAGAAAAAAAAGGTAAGAGAATCACAAAGCACAGGGAAGCATGGCCTTACCATCCACATCAAAGTCAAACCCATCTGCCGTGTGAATAGTGTGCAGGTGGTGGAAAGGCAGCTCCCGAGAAGCCCCGGAGCTCCTGAGGGACTCTCCTGCGTGCAAGTACAGGAGCACCCCTGCAACTGCTTGGTGGGGGGTACGTTACTCTACCTCAACAGGCCTGAGTTACAGCCCCAGGCAGTAACTGTACCTGAGTACTGCTCCCACACCACGTAACAAGTGCAGACGTCCCCACCAAGCATGACCCCGGTGTGAGACCACAAACGTATTATGGGGCTGTCCCTGAGGTGGCTGCCCCAAGTAGGCCACACCTGGGTGCACGGAGCCTAGACAGCCCCGAGACCCCAGACGTGCAGCCGCCCAGCTGGAGGGACCTCTTGGAGGATGGCAACGCCTGGCCTATTCTGCATCTCTGCTGGGCCTAGGCCCCACTGGCCAGCAGAGTACAGCCTCACCTGTGACTGTGGGCCAGATTGGCAGAAGAAAGCCTGTGGAGGCTGTCTCTGCCTCCCTGTCACTGAGGCCACACCACAGACTCTGCAGTGAATCACCACCATGGATGGTTTGGGATGCTGTGGCACAAAGCTATACACAGAAGCACAGCAGGGAAGCTGCGCCCCTGCTTAGGTTTCAAATGAGTTTCTCATGCATCAGCATGCACAGATCAACTGAAGAGCCTGTCAACATGCAGACCCTGATGTGGGGGACTGGGCTAGGGTGTGAGAGTATGAATTTGTAACACATGTCCTGATGATGCATGCGGCCACGCTGGCCCACGCGCTTCACTCTGGGCAGTGAGGGTGTAAGGAGTAGATCTCACAGAACTGTGATCTGAGCCTGCCCCTTCCTCACACGGGAGGAACACAGATTCAGAATGGAAAAGCTGGGAAGTGCATAGAAGTGGCTATGGGAGCCATAGATGCTGAAGGCTACGTCTGAGGAAGACCACCGCCTCTACTGCCACAAGCAATGAGAGGATTCCAGCCGTCAGAGTTATTAGACCAACGCCAGTAAATGGCAGCCTGATGCCAGGAATTAATCCAGCCGAGTGGGGTCTGAATGGTCACCTCAGGACACACTGTGGCAATGTTCCACCCTGGCCTTAGCCCTCCAGTCCAGTCAGGATGTGTCTTCACTCCAATTTCTGGATCAACCCCAGACAACAGACATCCTCCAAAAGCCTGACGCCTCAGAGCGCCAGGATGAGGCCAAGGGCTCACCCACTCTATGTCTGCAATCCAGGGCTGGTCTGAAGACCTGACCTTCTCATGGCCTAACAGTCCACCTTGATGGGGTGCTTCCAATGCTACACTGCCCCCAGTGGCTGGCGGCCAGGATGGCCAGAACTGCAAACAATTTCAAACTTGCCTAAAGCACACAGCTGGTGGTTGCTGCCTCTTGCTGTCTGAAATTCTATGCTTGACATGCATGACCAATTTGGAAATCCAATAGCTGTCACCTGTGTGGGATGATCTAACACAATCCTGCCTCAAATACAGGAACAAATCTCCTCCTCCCTCCCACTCCATGCAAACCTGCAATGAAAACTGTGAACAAAACCAGTCTTGCCTTCCTTTATCCATTACTTAAAGAATTAGAAAACACTTCAGTGTTCCTGATAAAAAGTTCTGCTTTGATTCAATTCAATTAGCTTGGATTAATTACCCACTTTCTAGTTAAGGTATTATCAACAGATAGGGCAGGCGCAGCCGATTCCACTCAAGAAGTGATTTATCCTACTTACCAACAAGGTTTTTAATTAACTGAGCAAATTCTAGGATTGTGTGTTCTTCTGGGTTCCCCTAAGGAAGAAATGGTTTAGGTTATAAGCGTCATGACAACAGCAGCGACCCGCCACACAGACCACACGCCTGTCTGCAGAGACGTCTGCTGGCCAAGTCTCACCTCCCTGCACTGCTTCAGCGGAGCTCCGTGTGCCAGCAGGTACTCTACTTCCAAGACGCCAGTTACTCACCTGGCAGTGCTAAACTGCACCATCTATACCAGGCGTCCCCAAACTACGGCCTGCAGGACTCATGCGGCCCCCTGAGGCCATTTATCCGGCCCCCCCGCCGCACTTCAGGAAGGGGCACCTCTTTCATTGGTGGTCAGTGAGAGGAGCACAGTATGTGGTGGCCCTCCAACGGTCTGAAGGACAGTGAACTGGCCCCCTGTGTAAAAAGTTTGGGGACGCCTGATCTATACCTTCAGCTTCTAGGCTGCTGTGTACAAGGCTGGGCTTTGGCTAGGTCAAGAGTCTTCGGATGAAGGCACATATTCACTCGCTGAGTATCAGGCAATTTCCATATCTAACCTAACTTCTATGTCACTTTTATAAAAGCTTGGGTTTACAGAATTAGCTCTTCTAACACTATCTACTTCCCTCTGGGTGCGCTGTGTTAACCAGGTCAACGATGAAGGACTTGCAATCTCACGTCTGAAAGCTAAGGCAGAAATGAGTATGCTCACAGGCAAGTGTCCTGGGCAAACCAGAGGACAAACTAGATGCAATCATGAAGTGAGAATATGTGTGGGGACTTTAAGGAAAACCACTTGCTTTTTCTCCCTTCCATCACACATCAGAGCACCTGTTACTCTTCATCTGCCGCCACTGCCCCCAAACATAAGAGACCACCATAAAGTCTGATAATTCTATATCCTAAAGCCTCTTCATACCCAGGTCTGAAGTTAGATGGTAAATGTGAAGGGAGGGACCCCAGAACTCACTTGTGCACAGAGGGGACTGACTAGCAAAGTGGAGCGATGGGAATTTGGAAGAAAAGTGATTTTGCTTTTATCAGGGCTCCTGGCAGACACACGATTCCAATTTTAGGAACTGTCCCTGTGCAAAGGCCCTCCACAAAGATGGTATCTTCAGAGAAGAGCCTGGCTGCCCAGGGAAGTCACAGACAACGCTCCTGCTAAGGGCCTGCAGCAAAAACAGAGAGAAGGGGCAGCTCCCGCCTCTCCAGCTTCCGAAGGAAAATGCCGCAGGCAAAGTGAGGCTTCCAGTGCAAGGCTCGTTCCGGTCTGTTTTAAGTGAATGTTTTTTCAAAAGTGGCACACTGTATCTCTCAATTAGTAACACTCCCAGGATGGACTCAGCACTCCACGGCCCATTCTATCCTATGTGATGAGACCTCCCTCTCACCCCAGGGAAAAATGCATGGTCTCCAGTGTCCTTGAGATGGCTGGTTACAAAGACATTCATAAGCAAAAGTGACAAGGTTTGCAAGACATAGGTCACATGGCCAACATTTTACAGTTCCTCGAACTTTAAAATGTTGTGTAGAAAGCAGGAGAGGTAGTTTGAGAGAAGCACCTGAAATGACCCCCAGGCTTCATAGAGGTGGGGTTCTGGGAGCTCTCTAGTGAGCTAAGGGGTTCTTGTGTCCACTGTCACTGACAGAAGCAGAACATATTGAATGCTGGACAGTCCACATTGGACACCCTACATTTTAAATGAGATGGAACAAAACCGCTCACAAAATCCTCAGTGATAGAAAGGGTAAGAGATCCTAGCATAACCCAGCCAAGGAGGAGAAGGCTTTGGTGGGTTGGGGTAGGACCATGTCCTTAAAATCCTTGGAGAGTTACCACAAAGCAGAGGCATCACACTAGCCATGAATGGTCCCCAGGTGGAGAAGTGAGGTCAGTGGGTTGGCGTGCAGAAAGTGAGATTTTTTTGTCCAATATAAGGAAGTGCTTTCTGCCAGCCAGAACTGTCCAAAGATAGAATGAACTGCTCTGAGCAAAAGCAAGTTCACCAGCACTGAAGCTGCTCACGGCTGGATGACCCCTCCAAATGGGAAGTTCTGGGGCTGTGGGCAGTCATGCAGGGAAGGCAAGAAGCCATGAAGGTGGTCTGTCCGGCTACATGGCAGACTTCATGAGCAACTAGAAAACTTTCTCTCTGAACAACCTCCATCTTCTAAAACTTCAATCAGGTCTTAAATGAGGACCTGCTCATTAAATAGAGAACAAGACACATACACATGTCCACCTACTACCACAAAAAGACTTCACACATTTTTAGTCCTGGGCCCTTCAGAGGGCGGTGGGGCTGATTTCATCACTCATCCATGCCTTGCAGATGCTTTACTTTTTTGTATACTCTTACTTTGTGTGTGTGTGTGTTTTCCTGAAGTATTTAGCAAGCAACAAACATGAATGCCTTACGTGTGCTGATAGCAAATGAAGCAAAGCCTGGTGCTGCTCATGGTTTCACAAATGAACAAAAGTCTGACCTGTCCTGCAGAGTGGAGGGAGAGGAACACTCACCAGGTTGACTGGGCTGCTGACGTTGCTGTTCATGAGAGCCACGAGGCCGTTCACCAGATCACTGGAAAAAAAGGGGAGGCAGGTGAGGCTCTGCCTGCTGGAACATGCTGGTGCCACGCGCCACACAGAAGCCCTCCCAGAAGAAAAAGTACCACCCCCAGAAGAAAATAAAAACCCAAATGGAAAACTGAATGTCAAAATAAAATCCTACAAACTAAGATGGTGTTTATAATGCGAAAGTACTTATGGATGAAATGATATATTTGACGTCTGGGATTTGCTTTTTGTGGGTGTGGTGGAGATGATTAAATAGGATGAAAGCTGAGAGATGGGGTTGAGTTCGGCACGGTATTTCTGAAGTCCTTTAACGATTAAAACTAAGCATAAGTTAAAACAGGCACATACTAAAAAAAGATGGAGTTTACATAAGTTTCCAAAGAAAATTCATGTTTAATGTGAACCCAGTAGTGACCTGTACGAAAGCACATGATTACTTATAAAAACAAGATCCACAGAAATGAACAAACTCCAGTATGTGAGCCCCATACTGGCAAATCACAGATAAAGCCAAACAGTACCGAGGGTTAAAATAAACAGAAACGTCACTCCCTACTCCCCCAACCTGTAATTCACCACCCTGAAAAACACCTCATATGGAACGGTCAGGGATATCTGGATGTTTCAAATGGATTGTGATCAGCTGGGCCATGAAGGTGAAGATAAGTAAGCAAACTTCCGCTTACCAAGGTTTGGTTCTTATTTTCAGAAGCTTTAAAGTGTGGCTCTGTTAAAAAAAAGTTACTTCGTAAAAATGACACCTCACTGCTAAGCACAAGCACTTTTTCTAAGCTGATTTTTCATGAGCTATGATTCTTAGAAGACTTTTAAAGCTCTGACCCTCCTCCTCCTCCTCTGTCAATACCAGTGAGAAGCAGGTCACTCTGGGTCAGGGTAAACTTCCAAAAGAAAACCCCAGATAGGTTTTGCTTTCCTTTCAATTGAAAAAAAAACTATTGGGGGTAGGGTATTTAGTTAATAAGATATTTCTGCGTTTTCCTTTACGACAAATGGATATTTCATATGAACATGCTTAAAATGTTCTATTCTCAAGGATCAAGCACAAATGCAAATCCCTGCTGACCTTGGATGATTTCTCTTTTATATAAATTGGCAAAAAGTCACTTCATCACTATGGCAGTATAGTTAACAATTGTGCACTCATGACATACATCATGTTTATAAAGACATTAAAAGCTGCCATTCCATTGCATCCACAACAGGTTTTAATATTGAAACTGGGGGGTGGGGTCTATTTGAGTTGGAAAAAGGCTGACTCTCAAGCAGTCAGCCTCAGTGGGGCAGGTAGGAGTGCCATGTGCCTTTTACATAACAAACTGGCAACTTTTAAGGTCAAAATTGCATAGATCACACTCATTTAACCTGAAGCTCTTTAAGAGTGTCATTTTGACAAAGTGACTTTTAAAGAAAATACAGCATGCCTTTGTTATGTAAATGAGGACAAAACCCGGCCATGAGAATATTAAACACAGTCATGCCAAAACGTCGATGCGGATGGCCACCTAGACCTCAGAATCCCTGCAATGTTGTTTCGAGGCAATCATGGGTTTGGGGAGCGGTCAATTTGGTTCAGTAATGATGGACCCAGACATTGTGCGTTACTAAAAGATGCTCAGTTCCTAAAAAATTGCTTCAGAAAAACATCAAATGAATGTTAATGAACTCAGCTGAGTCCTCAACAATGAAAATGTTTAAGTCAGGAAACCCTTGCCCAAGTGTGGCAAAGTCCCTGAAGCCTTGTCATCTCAGATTCCACTAAGGTGAAACCAGAGAGGATCACCAGAATGGGGAGTAAATACGACAGAAGTGTTACAAAACGGGGTTTTCTAAAAGGGTTAACAACCACTCGCCTAGGGGAACTGCTCAAGCCCTCTTTCCAAGTAGTCAAGTGATATGGGAGAGGACGATGCATGTGATGGCAGCTAGGCACATGGGACAGTGACCAGGGCACAGAGAGAGTGATGGGGCAGAGACCCTTGCCCATCAGAGCGGGCCACGCACCCTGGGCGCATTTTGTCCTGAGATGGGACAGCACAGAGCACGGGTATCATTGAATGCTCAAAATATTTTAGTCCCTAGCAAAAAGAAGTCTCTGAGGCTATGTAAAATAAATTTTGCAAGCAATGCCCTTGAGATAATCACAGCAAGAAGAGGAGTGGGCTCTGCCTGGTTTCCTTTTCACTGCACAACATCTCATCGATATTCTATGTGGCATTGGGGCTGGAGAAGCCTGAGGGTCACTGGTGAGGCAGTGCAAGGCAGGCCCACATAACCCAGGACAGCAAGCCTCCCTCGGGAAAGGGCACAGCTGGGTGGGTGGAGGATGGGATGAGAGCAAGTCACTACGGAAAGACAGTACTCAATCCACGGGAGGCCCACAATTTGGTCCCCATACAGAAGTGTGCCATGATGGTTTCCCCCTGGGACATGGTATCTATGTTAAGTGCTTTGAAATGAACACAGTCCCGAAGTGGGGGCAGCTGCCGTTTCCCGGTTAAATCGCTTTTTAGAATACACATGCCTGTTTGGGCAACAATGTTGGCTACGGTATACTTCTGGGCTTTTTGCCCCTTGTGGTTAAGATATTAATGGGTGGGGAGGCAAAAAAACCACTGACTGTATAAATGTTTACTCACAGCTTTCTTTTAGAGTAAATGGAAATTCACAAATACTTTCAGCAAAAGTCTATAGTGGTTGTTTTGGATTCTTCTTAAAATTTTATTTTACTACCCGTTTCATTTCTCTAAGGGACTCCTCTTACCTAAGGGTCCCGGGTACACGAAGTTGATGTGGTTGCTTTGGCTGAAGTGGGACTGGGGGGGGCTTCCCTGACCTGCACCACAACAGCCACCATCTCACCCTAGTGCCCCTGGGATGGCCCCAAGACAGCAGGAAGAAGCACTTCCTGACTGACAAGCTTACTGGGGTCTTTGCACTGAAGAGTGAAAATATATGGGTTCAAAATCGAGAACCGGAGGATATAAGAAACTTTCAGAAAACCTGCAATAGCCACATACTGGTAGATACACTTTGGCATATGCAACTGCTTCTATCCTAACTACTCTCAGAACTCATACTGCCTTCTAAAATTAATCACCAATGGAATGGAAAAACAGAACAGTGGATTTATAAGGACTGCCAAGAAAACAATAAATATCACCCTGTGAATCTATTACAAAATATATTTTTAATCTGCATTTAGTTTCAGCATGAAATTCAACATGAGAACACTATCTACCCTGCGACCTCCACAAGGGCTATCTCCTCCACCCCATAAGCCATGCTTGCAATGGGTCAGATTCTGGCATTCGCGGGTTTGCTGGATGCATATGGCCATCTCAACTCAGCCTGTACTGAAGTCACCCAAGTCACCCTCAGAGCTGGGCAACTTCACCCACAAACCACTAGGTGGCAGTAAAAGATTAGTTCATGAGTCACAACAGTTATGGAGATGAATGCAAATTTTAACTTTTAAACAGAGAACAGCAAGTTTTCCCATCATAAAATTAAACATTTTTAATCAATATATAGTGTTAGTGTTGTGGAAATGGTTAACATATACAAGACACTGAACTGTCTGTCAAGTCTGCATGACCCCTACTCCAAAGCACTACTAAGGTTGGGGCCGGGCAGTACAGTCTTACCTGACGTACTGGAACGCCCTTGTCTGAGATCCGGATCCGTACACCTGAAAGAAAACCACCAGTTAGGCCTCCTGAGAAAACCACACCAGAATTGGGTGGGTAGGTGTCCTTGAAATTACAAGGCACACAGACCAGCTTTGAAACTGATCCCAGGGGGCAGTGATGCTGACTCAAAGCATCTAGTACCACATCCCACACTCTATTTCGAGACCATGCCCCGACAGTGAGTCAGTGGCAGCAATACCTAAAGCGTGCACCTGGAATACATGTGCAAAGTTTTCCCTCAAAAGACAGAGCCTGAAGGAATTCATTTCTGCTAGAGTCATATGATGTGACAGGGATCGTGTGAGGCTCTGGGGACTGTGACCTCAGAGTCCAGCTGGGTGACTGATCTACACACAAATGGTAATGCATGTATTTAACTTGGGTTCCCCAGTCTGACTGCCCAACGGCAGAGCTGGGAATGCAGCCCGGGCTGGTCCACAGACTCTTTGGGATGAGGCTGGCATCTTTGGGATGAGGCTGGTATTGTTACAGCTAGCTCCTCAGGAGATTTTAACATAAGGCCAAGGTTGAGAATCATGTAGGAGACTCCCAAAGTGACGCAGAGGTGGCAGGAGGGAGGGAGTGTCACACTCCCCTTTCTGTCCACTGCGCATCTGCTCCACACTTCCATAGCTTGGCTTGTGTTCTTTGCTCTGCTGGCCAAGACCCTCTTATCTACTTTCCACCTGGCAGAGGGCTACTCATCCTTTAGGGACAAGCTCTGATGCTGTCTCCTGAGGAAGCTTCGTCTGGCTCAGTCCCCAGAGAAAGCCCTTTGCCAACTCCTCCCAACTGTGAACTCCCCAGGACTGGTGTCCAGCCCTCCGTGGCCCTGCTGGAGCCCAGCACGATGCATGGTGCAATACTAGTGTAGGATGGGCATCTGCTGAACAACCTGCGGAGTGCCACGGATCATGCCACTCACTGAGGAGGAGATGGCAACAGAGGCGCTTGAGGGGATGCCCTTGGAGGTTTTGTTTGCTTGGGTGCCTCCCTGTGGTGGAATGCAGGCAGCTGGGAGGAAGGGACTGCTTTTGGGAACAAGATTGATTATAACAACCCTGGGGCCTCCTCCCACCTGACAGCAAAAAGGAGCCCCTGCCAGCAGTTCTGTGAACAGCCCCAATGGCTCCAGACACTCAGCATGAATTCCCTGAAGCTCTTCCCACCAGTTCTGAGAAGGAAAAGGGGAAGGAGCAGGTAGGGAAAAAAAGCACATGCTTCAAACCCCCCGAATGCCTTTTTTTAAAGCAGGTTCAAAGGCTATCTCTGTTTTCCTTCTTTCTTTTTTTTTTTTTTTTTTTTTTGAGACGGAGTTTAGCTCTTGTTACCCAGGCTGGAGTGCAATGGCGCGATCTCGGCTCACCACAACCTCCGCCTCCTGGGTTCAGGCAATTCTCCTGCCTCAGCCTCCTGAGTAGCTGGGATTACAGGCACGTGCCACCATGCCCAGCTAATTTTTTGCGCTTTTAGTAGAGACGGGGTTTCACCATGTTGACCAGGATGGTCTCGATCTCTCGACCTCGTGATCCACCCGCCTCGGCCTCCCAAAGTGCTGGGATTACAGGCTTGAGCCACCGCGCCCGGCCTATCTCTGTTTTCTTAATAAGCATTTACATATGCCCATTTCACAGGTATATCAGTTTCAACTATGTGGGTTCTGTTCTTGGAGGGAAGGCCTTCCACTGAGAAAAGGCTGGGGATACTGATGAATCGAAATTTCTGTCAACACAGAAACTACAGCTATAACAAATCTCAGTAAAGTAAAATTAAGGAAAGATGGGAGTGGGCCTCTTGGAAGCACAGGGCAGTTCCTTGACAGTTTTGCCTGATCCAAATTCTCTGGCCTGGCTGACACTTCTGATACATGGGAGGAAGACAGGAAGCATTGGGCCTGATTTGGTAGGAAAGGAAGTCCACTCACGGCCAGCTCCGTCAGACTGGAAACTCCCCTCCACTCTAGTGCTATAGGTATAACTCTGGTTTTTGTTTTTGTTTTCTTTAAACAACCTTATTTTGGAGATGAGGTGATGGAAGGTCAATCTGCTGGAGTGACCTGCACCCAGCAGAGTGAAATTTATCTTGACTCCAAGTTCAGGATTCTTTTTCCCACCCTCTTGCGTTCTTAATTTCAAAACTGCATGTAGTTTTTGCACCCCAAAACTGTGGCTCTCAGACTGGCACCAGACCATTCTCCAATCTCGCCGTAGTGAGTACTGGATTTAGGCAAGTCCCGCGTCACAGGCGCTCCTCCACAGGTGGGTTTGGGGCTGTGCTGCTGTCCTGCCCGTTGCCTGTGCCTGCATCCGGGGCTCTGCCCTCAAAGCTGAGCACACAGACGTACCTCTGCTACTTGCGTTGCACCTTCCCACTGCACTCAGCCAGGGTCACTGTGATGGTGGGCTCACCGGTCTGCTGGTGCACTCCAGCCACACTCACAGAAATCCCACCTCTGTGCAGAGTGGCAATGGCCTTCAACAAGCTGGCTGAAGCCAGTCTTCAGTGATCTAGAGCCCAGGCTTGCCCATCAGAGCTGCGGTCTCTTAGAGAGGAGCCATAGAAACATGCAGAGGCAGCTTTTGATTCCACCCAAACATGCTGACCCCAAGCCCTGGAGGGAACACAATCCAGGGCACCGCATGCTGGGTGAGTCCCCAGACCCGGACATTAATCCAGGTTAACGCAGGTTAATCCAGGTTAATCCAGGACGTTAATCCAGGTTAATCCAGGCTGCCAGCGTCGGGATGTGAAGAACCACGCCAAGCACCTGCTGTACCAAACTACAAGGGACTTCTTATGATGGAGACACTCAGCAGTTTGAATGTCACTTGAGCCCAAAAAGGAACCTTAGGGCTGCAGCCTGGGAAGCCCAAAAAGGCTCCTAAAATAACCTGCAGTCTGCCTTGGTACTTCCCACTGTTGCCTCATTCAAAGCGCAATGGAGGGAGAGAGTAACACCTGTGGATGCATTTCCCTGCATGACTCGCCAGGGGCAGCTCCCCACCCAGGCAGCACCGCCACAAGGTTCATCTGGAGGCACCATGGTCACCAGGTAAGCTCTGCTCCCTTCAGGTCTGGTGACACAAGCCCCTCAGCAGCACCCACCCTGAGGTCCCACCTGATGTTCACAAAGCAACTGGGCCTCAAGGAAACAGTCCCCAGGACAGGAGGAGGCGCTTCTGCCTGGGCTGCAGTGGAAAGGTGTGGATGTCATGGGACGCCCACTGCACACCCCCACGGGCCTTGCTGATACAGTCTTGAAGGTGTTTATGCTCCATTGCGTGCATCAGGCTAAGCTGCAATGTGAGTGGAGCCTGGAACCCTTCCTTCCTGGTATCTTTAACAGTCCTGCCGGATTTCAGTTTCTATGGCACATCATATCTATCATCTATACTTTGGTTTAAACTAGCCTCCTAGTACTTTGCAATATAGGGACTTGTACTTTATCACTATACAGTACTTTGCAATATGGGGACTTATAATTCATGTGTGTAATATTCACTGTGTGTGCTAACTGTAAAAATATAAAGTAAAAGAAAGGAATGTTTGTGTGCAATAGAGAAGACGCTACGTAATTATACCCCAACCAAAAATAGCTGTCTTCCTTGGGCTCTAGAATGCACCCTGTGTACAGCCCTTACAATGTGGTCTGAGGCCCTCCATGTCCCCTACTCCAAGATAAGGCCTGCAGGGACTTGTAACAAATTGGGTGTGCAGCAAAATCCAGGGCATGAGTATCACAGGGATCTGGTGTGGACAGCTGGCATCAGCAGAGCTCCCTCAGCCTCCTTATTGTTCTCCTTACAGAAGACAGTGTGAGATTTGGTCCCTCCAGCTTCATTTCAGAGAATAGGAGAGACGCAGGGAGATTCATGCAAAAGTGAAGGCTGCTACTGGGGGCCGGGGAACGAAGGGCTGTGTGCAGGTCAAAGCAGCATGATGATCAAGGAGTCACCAACAGGGGAGAGGACCAGCTGGGGGTGAGGGGCAGCAAGGAGCTCTGATGATCACTTGGCAATGTCCCCAACCACCTGTGCTCTATGTGTTTAAGATGTAACAAAGATTCTTTGCTTGGCTGAACTTCATTCAGGCTCCTGTACCTTCTCCTAGGCCCATTTGTGGGCTTTCTTGTAAAATGTTCTTGTTCTTTTAACAAGAACCCTGTTAAGTCAGTTTAGCAAGAAACCCTTACCCTCGATATCTGTTCACCCTTGATAACTGACATTCCTCACCCCCCACATCACCCTGGCCTGTCTTCAGCAAGAATCCTGTTAGGTTAATTTAGCTAGAATCTTCCTCATCCCTGATGCTTCCCTTAACGAATTTCTGTTCACTCACATCCTCCCTGCTCCTTGGCTATAAATTCTGCTTGCCTGTGCTGTATTTGGAGTTGATCCCAGTCTCTCTGCCCCTGTGAAATCCCATTGCAGTGATCCGTATTCCTGTCATGATGGTCCTGAATAAAGTCTTCCCCACCATCCTTTAACCAATACCACTGAGTAACTGTTTAACAGATCCTGAGGCTTCCTGCCACAAACGAAGGCCCAATGTAAGGATCACTTAACACACCACAGTATCCGTAAAAGGGCTAAACATCTTACTAGTTTTGAATGGGTCTTAGAAGTACAGTTTTTCCAAAATTTCCCTTTGGAAGAATAGCAAGGCTTTAAAAATGACATAGAACTGGATTCAAGCCCCAATTCTGCCACGTCTGAACTGTCCTGGGCAAATTCCTCTTGGTGAAGTTGTTTTCCCCTCTGTAACCTGGGATAAATCATGTGGGGTGGAAAGCAGAATGAACCCCTCCTGTGAATGTGCATGCTGTAACTGAACTGTGAGCCAAAGCCTCTTCAAAAATAAACTTACGACACTAGCTCTACCTGAACCATACTTGTCTATTTTCTAAATGAGATGCAAAATTTGCTGAACTTTTAAATGATTCCACTTCAAATACATCTTTGATGTATGATGCACTAAACCTAGCGACATACTCCGTGAGTCCTCATCACAAGACTCTGGTACAGCAGTGAGTGAGATGCTAAGACACGCATGAGCAATCTGCTCAGAAACACAGCTGCAAGGTAAGCAATCACACCCACCCAGCCTGGAAAGGGAGGACAAGACACTGAGCTGTCCCTGTCCACCCTGGAAGAGGTCTTCATTTTGGAAGTGACTCCTTAGAAATGTAGCAGAAAAGGAATAAGATGGACACGCCTCCTTATTTCCCTTCCTCAGGAAGCCACGTGTTTCTAAAGACAGGCTGGCAGAGGCAGGCCTGCGAGTCTCTCCAGACCGCTCCACAGAGCCATCTGACAAGAGCAAAGGATAATATCTCAATTGGACAGAAAAGAATGAAGTTAGCGACTTTATCAAATTCTTGCTGGGACACAGAATTCTGTGTGACAAAGGAAACAAAACACAAAGGCCTCCCTTGGGACTTCTGCCTCCTGCCACCAGAAGGTGCCTACAGGGACTGAAGTCCGCCACATTCTGGATTAACTGCAGTTGTGGATGGCTCCAGAGATCTTCTCCCTTCCATCTCTGGCACAAAAGCTTGCTCAGTGTGAAGACAACACATGAGTTATCACCTCTGCCAACAATGCATGCATTCTTGGGGAGGGCGGCTAGGGGAGAGCGGGGGCCCTGGCTGCTGCCAAGGAGGCACTAAATCAAGCTCCTCCTTGGAGGCTCTCACAGTTTATTCTGCAAACAAAGCAGCTCTCATCTCACAGCATGAGGGACTTTCTGAACACACTGGCTGAAAAGGCACCAGGCTGTCCCCAGATGTGGAATTCTCAGCTTAGCAGGTGGACTGAACTTCTTCGCAGGGCACGTCACGAGCTCCTCAGAACCCCAAGTAGCAGCAAGAGGGGAACATGGGATGACAGTTTCACTACTGTCACTTACTGTAAAGGAAAGTGGCCACTACAAACCCAATCATTAGTCCACCCAGCATCTCTCTCCTGCCACCCATGTGCCTGGGGGGGTCTTCTTTCTGGGAGCCAGGGAGACAACCATAAATGAAACAAAGTTCCTGGTTTTGAAGAGCACATACTGTACTAACAGGGATTGGGGGCTGGAAAATTCGTATTTCAGTTGGTTGCAAGGGCAGTGAAGATAATTAACATGGTTATGGTAACCAGCCTGGTACCATGATGCAGAGAAGCGTCAAGAAAGTTCTCTTCTGTAGAGAAGAATGAATGAGGAGAACGCCTGGAAGAAAAGCAAGACGCTCCCGGGACAGGCAGGAGCAAGGGAGCGAGGAAGCCTGGCCTGAGGGAGGGCATGGAGGCAAGAAGGCCGTGTCCTGTGCTCTGCTGGGGATACAGAGCCACTCAAGCTTCTGACCTCTCTTTACAAGGATCCCTCCAGCTGCGGAGGTGAGAGTACACAGGACAGGGGGAATGAGACTGGCTCCAAGGCTAAGGTAACAAACAGTGTTGGGACAGCGGCAGTATAGACCAGGGACTAGAGAACGGACCTACCTAGGTAAGGCAAGACCATTAGGATGTGATGGTAGATCTGTGCATGAAGGAAGGAGAACAGCCATGTGTGGCCACTGAGCCTCCACTGAAAGGCATCAACAAGACACTACTTAGTGACGGGGGAGGCGGGAGAGCTGGCATGGGCTGTTGAGAGCCTAGAGCTAGGGTCTGACCTCACCTCTCCCGTGGGATGCGTTTGGCAAAACTCAGCTATACAGGGCAGCTGCCTCCGGGGAGTCATCTCACTGTGTAACAGCCTGAGCTTTTAGTTCTACACTGGTGGTGGAGCAGCTAACACAGACAAGGAGACACACACACCATGAAGAATGCTTATGAAGAGCGGGGGCTCTGGGTTCAAAATCAGGCTACCACTGTGTGGCCACCTAAGCCTGGGCAACTCATATAACCTCTGCACTCCAGCATCCTCACCTGAAAAAGGAGGGGAATAATGTCACCTGCAGATCATAGGAGAAGAGTGAGCTAACATGATCAACTGATTAATGGGTAGGTGCATACGTACTACACAGATATACACATAGCTGTAACTTTTCCCCCTGGTATATACTCAATTGATAATAAACCAATCTTGCAGGATTTTCAGAGCAACAGGATGCTTATCGACTCTTGAGTCCTGCCAAACACCATGCTGGAAAGGGCTCTAGGAGGCTACGGATCAGAAGAGCAAAGCAGCCTGGGCAGACGACCACGAAGAGGAGTGGTAAGAGAGGAGCAGGTGGGAGGGAGGATTAGCAAAACCAAAGATGCAGGCAGAGCCTCTCACCAGGCAGGCCTGGGGTGCTCCTCCCCAGGGAGGCCAGAGGGCTGTGGGGACAGGTATGGAACGAGCAGCCCGCCCTGACCCGAGATGGTAACGAGGGTGCCAAGCAGTTAGCGTCAGCACAGACAACCCTGCCACACACTTGGACCACTGACCAAAGGTCACTGGGACCTCTGTTGGCTCCAGAAGTTTCCCTGGGTTGAGGGTGGCCAGTGGAGGACAGCACTGAGGGCCTGCCAGCACGGTCAAGGTGACAGCCCAGCTTGAGCAGATGTGGCTCACCTCCCCACCCTACCTGTCCAGGCTTCTTGGCATCCCCAAGGACACTGAGTACAGGCACATCCCTGGCTACAGCCAGCAGGCCAAAAACATATCAGGGAAGGTCTTCACAGGCCAGCTGGCACAGGCAGGCAGACAAGGAGGCATGGGCAGGGACCCCAGTGGCCATGGAGGGCAAGGTGACTTGAGTTATGTGCAGCAGCTACTTGTCTGGGTTCTGTCCCCGTGCCTGTCTTCTCCTTAGTGGAGGGCAGCAAGTATGTACACAAACACTACATGGCAGCTTCAGAAGTGTCACTCCCCAAGCCGAGATGCACTTCATCCCTCATCCCTTGTGGGCAGACTCCGATTTGGTTTGCAAGGTGTTCCCTGCGCCGAGGCCAGCACCTACCGTGAGCGGCTCCCCCTGGAGTGCCTGCAGGATGAAGTTGCTGACCACCCGCCCATCATTCATGTGCATGCGTGGCCCAAAGGTGTTGAAGATTCTGGCCACTCGCACTTCCACGCCTTCCTGGAACAGAGAGAAGAGGAGGTCAGGCGTGCTCCCTGGCATGGTCCACGCGTCCACTTTGCATTTCCAGTGCCCTGCATGCAAAGTGTGTCAGGAAACGTTCTGCTTTCCATTCCAAAATGGAAATGGCTTTTTGTTCTGATTCCATAATGCGCTCATTATAAACCAATCGGGAGACCACACAGAGCTATACCAAAGAGAGTCAAAGCTGTCCCAGATCTCGCCACCTGAAAGCTGTCCCAGATCTCGCCACCAACATTAGTATTGTGGTAGAAAACCAGCTAGATTAACAGTGCAAGGAGAAAAAAAATGTGCTTATATAAATTTTTTCCCAGTTGAATATGTATTTTCCAAATGTGATTATGTTATGAATATGCTTTTCTAATCTTTTTCACATAATATATTGTGCAAATTTATCACTCAACAGAGATTTAAACGTCAATGAATATTTGATAGCTAGAGAGAAATATAAGAAAGATCTCTATTTTGGGAAAAGGAGACATAGACACGTTCTTACTGAGTGACCCCGCACCTACACTCCCAATCTGTTTTACTGAAAAACATCTGTTTTAGTGAAAAACTAAATACAACTTAGTGCCCAGTTAATGGTTTTTAGCTAATGGCCTGGAAAGAGAAACAGACTGACACTGTTTAAAACAGTCATTCCTCCTGTTCATTTTCATCTCTATGCTCATTTTCTTCTATGCATTTTTTAATGCTTCTATTTTTACTACAATAAACATGTATTACTTTTGTAATCCAGAAAAGTCTGTTTTCAAATATGCAATCAGGGAAGTGCATATTTGAATCACAAAAGCCTTCTCTAAATGATCTTGTTTAATTATTAATTTCACACACTGCTTTGCCATGGATGGAAAAGTTAAATGTTTTTATCAGAAACTCTTGAATTAGTGGGTGTTTACAGTGTATATGTATCTAATGTTTGATTCATTACAGAACAAATGTGCTCTTTCTGGGCATCTGAGGACAGTGAAGACCTGGGGCTCGCACTTCTCACTGCACCCATGTGTCTGCTGTTCCTGCCCCACCACTCATTGACCAGGCCAGCCACTGGCTCGGCTGCAGCGAGACTGGGAAAGGGGCGCTACTTACCCGATCACCTCAGTGTTCTAAGACTGGAGCACAGACCCAGTGGCTGTATTGAGTGCCAGTTACCACTATTAGCTGAAACAATTCTTTTTTCAATTTCTACCAACACCTTAGGCTGGCAAGGGCTGGGAATGGGAATCCAATGGATCCTTAGCTAACAAGGCTTACTTAGCACACAATTTCTCCACGCATATAGTGAGTTAAAGGGCATGAGCTGCGAGCTCCATAGGCCCCATCAGCCCTCTCAGTAGCTGGAGTGACACAGCTGCCACCTCTGCCCACAGCAGCCTCGTCAATTTCCCCAGTGTTCCACAAACCTGGGCAGGTTTTTACGTGTGCTGTGATATGACAAGAGGTGGGAGGCATAGAAGCACACAGTTATCTTTTAGAAGCCAGAGTGCTTTATTTGTGCTAATTCTTCCCAGCAATACACTATAATGCTCTCACGTGAGCCACTCAGACACTCACGACAAAGATATGCGCTAAGTCCAAGAATAAATCAACCCTTTTCTCTACTGAACTAATGAGCGTATTAAAAAGGGTGGGGGAACAGAGATGCTGTTCTCAACAGGAAATAACTCTGAAGTACCCACTTGCATTTAATTGATAAGAGGAGGAAAGAATCAAAGTGAATGGATGTGGCTTTATTCTAGGAAGAGACAGGAAAAACCTCAGCAAATTTACAATAATCAACCCAACGAGCCTGGTAGGGAAAAAGCTCAATGGGTTAGGCAAAGTTTGCAGCAAATCAAATGCTTTTATCTCAACCTTCTCTTTCCACAAAACATTCCAGAACATGGCCTCATGAGGATCAGCAGACATTAACTGGCCAACTCATCAACAGGCTTGCTTGCTGTGGCTTTTCTATTTGAGTCTGTAATGGTTCAGCAACAGAGGGCAGCCCTTCTACACAGGTGCAACAGTTGTGAATGCAACAACACTTCCAAGAATGTGAGCTCTCAAGGCCAATCTACACCAGTAAGACGAGCTACTTGTGAAGCCTAAACTTATATGACATAGAAACTCGAGTCTCACTCCAGTTGAGACCTGCTCTCCTCTGGGATGATGGTGTCTTCTGGAGTTTGTATGCCCACCTGTCCCTTTCTAGATAGCATTCGGAAACACTTGGTCTTCACACAAAGGCGACTCCTAGTCAACACGTATAGTCCACTGGCTGCTGAATCGTTATCCCCACTGGCCCTCACAGTGAGACAACGTGGGCAGGAGGGAGGACAGTCAGTGGGTACGGACACCACTATTTATGGTGGTAGCTCAGTCACCACTCATATGGCATGGCTTACAGGAAGGTATAGTTATTCCTCAGAGGTCCAGGGTCTGACCCAAAGTCACCTTCCTAAGAAGGGAAGAGCCAGGCCAAAAACCCAGGAAGTGCACACCAGGCAACACTGTCTCATTCAAGGGAGAGTCCACTTCCGGACTAAGAAGAAAACACATTAATGAACTCCTGACTCCCACGCAATGTTCTGCCTGTGAGTGGTCAGGCACTGCTGACACTCAGCTGGTGCCTTGGAGCATAGACAAGGCTGTCAGTCAGAACACTAACTGTTGACTCATCCTAGGCATGGCTGGGTTTCACTTTATGCTCTGTGGTTCTGTCCCTTGTGGTAACCCATGAGTCATGGACAGCTCCAACCATCAGGAAAGTCAAGACAACTCCTACAAGCTGAGCTGCACGAGCATAGATCCAACAAAAACTTAGAGAGGATGGATGCTGAGGACCCTGCACAGGGTGGAGGCCGGAATACCTGGGTGGCCTCACTATGCCAAGAAAGTCACTTCAGTTTCTAAGACTTAAGATCCAAATCTTTGAGATGAGGACAATAATATCCACTCTACCTGCAACACAGGGATTAAAAGGAAACACTGAAACTGTTTTGAAAACTGCCATTGTTATTATCTACCTCCAAGGAATGGATCTCAACCCAGTAATTGCCCTTGACCACTGTCCTCAGTTTTCTGATGACACTAACTTACCTTGAAGTAACGGTGACCACATTGGGAATAGTTCACATACACTGTCACCAGGACAGTAAGATTGCAAGGCATAGGCTGAGGCTCCCAAAGGCCTCTGGAAACACCAACTAGGCTGGAACAGTGTGAGCTGGCATCAAATGCCTCCTTGCCCCATTTGTAGCAGCTGAGAGATGGGTGAGGGCTTGGGTATGCAGGTCTTGAGACGTGGAGCCAACTCACAGCAGGCCTGACAGGCAAGACGTGATCCAAGAGGAATAATGAAGGGACAGGGATTCCTCCCTCCCCAAATACCTCCCAAGGACAGAAACATTACCAGCAGGGATTACATGGTGTACAGAGCACCTCTGACATCAGTGATTTTATCTTAGAAAATGACTCCATTTCACATTTCAAAAGGCATCAGCCACTATGGTCCGCAAGTTTGCGTAATCAAGAGACAATGCCCAACTAGATTAAGGGCAGAACCCTTACTGCTAGTCCTCACCAGAGGGCTCAAGAGCCATAATGAGGAAGACTTCTACAGCTCAAGATGGCCATCTTGACAGACCCTGTCTTGCTGTCACTCATGGTCAGCACCCAGCATCTGCCAACAAACACTGCCCAAATCAAGGGCTCTTCCATGCAAGATGTTGCTGTGTGTCCAGATCAGCCCAGGACCCTCTCCTTGTCCATGTCACTGTCCTTGGACTGGTTCCTTAACTCCTTTTCCTCTCCTCTTATCTCTCGATGTTAAATGTTACTGTTTGATGTGGAATGTTTAATCTAAACATTTACATATTAAGTATACTACTAGGTACGGTTTGCAGGGCTAACTGACCTGTGGAGTGCCTTGAGCCTATGGGCTCACAGCTCTGACTACTGAGTGAATGGGAAATATGAAGAAATCCCTCCTTGGAAACTCCATGGAGCACATGGATTTTATGACTGAAATAGCATCAATAAAAGCCTGACCTTGTAGAAAGACACAAATGTTCATGGACCTGATTATGTCTGACTTTGTCCTACTCACGACACATGGGTTCTCCCTCAAAATTTCTTTAAAATGCGTTTCTTTCAGTGGAGAGTACAACAGGTCCCCCAGATAATATCATTTCATTATAACACTGATGAGATAAAAATCACTTCCTGGCTGGGGCTACTGTCTACATGCAGGTGGCATGTTCTCCTCTCTCGTCTGTGTGGGTTTTCTCCGGGTATTCTGGTTTCCTCTCACATCCCAAAGCTGTGCATGTCAGACCAGACAAGTGGGCTGTGGTCCCAGTGTGAGTGAGTGTGGGTGTGTGTGAGTGCGTCCTGTGAGAGGGTGGCACCCTGTCCACGGTAGGCTCATGCCTGGAACCTGGAACTGCTGGGATAGGCTCTGGCCACCTGAGATCCCACATATAATTATCCTGTTCTTATTAATCTTCCTTTAGTGTACAGCTCACACTTGTTTCAAATGCTTAATACTAGAAGTGTTTTAGTCTTTATTTAGAATTTTGGTGATGTTTTTGTGACCAGAAATATGCCTAGGAACCTAACTCTTGTTTATAGCAATTAGCCTGTGGTACTGCTGATTTTGTTCTATGTCCATCTGCTTAAAGTCACAGTTTCCAAGAACAGACTGATGATGTTAAGAGATGACTTACTGTGCTACAGCAAGCCAGTGAACACTATGACATGATCACTATCTTCACTGACGGAAGGTACTATTGATAGAAAGTGGAGGAACGGAGCCCTGCATAGTGGGAACGGGTCCTGAAGTGCACCCAGGTACAGCAGCCCAGGCTCTGACACTTCCCTCAGAAGTATGTGCACGTCCCTAAAGCAACAGGGTCAGGCTGTGAGGGCCGAACCTTTTAACTCCCCTAGGGCCTCTCATGCATACATCTCAATGGGTTCTGCTCCCTACCTGGGGATAAGACTAAGGCCACTGCAGAATGCAGAACTCAGTGTGCTGAAGCAAGATTCTTAAAGGTGCCAAAAGGTTCAAGTTCACTCTAGGGGCTGACCGACAAAGGGGGTCCGGGAGGGGTGTGACTGCATCTGCTTGGCCGTCTTCCTCAGCAGTCCTGTTTCACGTCAACAATCAGCTGACCTTCTGAAGGTTTGCTCTGCAGCAGGCCAGGAGAGGCGGGTATCACTCTGCCAGTGTCCAGGTGGGACAGATGGGATGTGGCCGGCAGGTACTCTGAGCGAGTCACAGGGCCAGGAAGCCAAGCTGCTATTGGGCAGGTCCAGAGGACAGGCCAGGCCCCCTGGGGTGTGAGTCCTACCCAAGGAACACTGCACCTGGTTTGGCTGCTTATTTAATTTTTACTTTTTCAACTCAGGTAGAATATACATACCAACTCTCTGACTTTTTCAAAAATACTCTGATGCCAGGCACTAAAACAAAACCATACCTTTAGGGCCATTAGACTAGGTGATTTCTGAGTTTCTTTTTTCCGCTCTGCCATATGCTGGTTTTATGAATGATGGCCTGTTTTGGGCCGCAGACCTCAAGAGTCAGACTCATGAGGGGGCGATGAACTCAAAATGAGCAGTAAGCACCGACCACAGCCTACAGGGGAGGCCCCACATTTATCAAGCCATTGCATCCAAATGCACGTGGAAGCAGCAATTTAATTCCTCCCTAGCAAGTTTAAACTATCGGGAGAGGCTCTGTCCTTTGATCCCAACCTCCCTCGCATTTCATCCCACACAAAAAAATTCCAGGGAGCCTCTCTTTTTCTAAGGGATGTGTGGTAGATTTTTCTGGAAAATAAGATTCTATTTTGAATACATTAGGACATTTCATTCATTAAAAGAAACTCAGAATCCTTGGGAAAAAGGAAATTTTTCTATAAAAAATTATTCATACCTCTATCTTGTTTATATTTTCAATCTTTACATATTATTCAGAGTAAGATCCACATACTATATAGGATCTTGCAAATAAAATGGCAATTCATACTTAAGAGGGGATATGTTATTACATATAAGAAATTAATTAAAGTTGTTAAAATAACGAATTTTAAACATGCCAGACGTACTATTCCACCTGGTTCATCCTCGATTTTTTCGTTTGTTTCCAGATAGCAGAACTATCTCAAAAGGTTGCACATGTAGAACTATAAACTGACAACATCACAGTGCAGCGCCTGTTGCTCAATCTCCCAGCTGAGAGGAGTAAGGGTGACACTGGCGCAAGGCGTGTGAACCACTGGTTCTGGGCACTGTCCCGAGATGAAGTGAGCTGCAAAGGAGCCTTGCTGCCCTTGGACTTGGAGCTGCATGGTGTCCTCTTGCTCACTCATGCTTCCTTACCTGCTTCAGCCTGCAGGGACAGCCAGGTGGTGTGGGGAGGAGCAGGCCCCACAGGTAGCCAGTTGGGGGTTCCAGGCACACTTATGGTCTGCGGAGCTGGAAACCCAGGATAGGTTTGGAACCTATCCTCCCCATTTGTGAGATGGGCTGACCACTCCCACCTCAGAGTGGGCTACAGGGAATTAACTGAGATTAAAACGGACTGACCCCTAACAGAGGCTGAGCACACAGCAAGCACTCCAGCCCCAGTTCCTGCTCTTTCGCAACACCCACAGCAGGCACGCAGAGTATCCTCAAACAGTATCACCTCCAGACAGAGGCACATTCAGAAAGGCATAACACAACACCCTGCAGGGCCACTGTGCTCAGAACACAGTCACGGTCCCAGAAAATAACAATCACTTTGGAGTTGGGGGCCCCAAGGAGGTCCAGTGATTTGCCCCAGAACAGGCCACGGACAGAGGGCAGACCCAACATAGTAGGAGGTGCTTACACCCACCCTTGCTGCCAGCTGTCACAAAATCCTGAGTTAAAGAATCATCTCAACGTCTTCATCTCAACACTTTATATCCCGTACAATCTTTACATAGTAGCATTTGTTTTATTTTATTTTTCCTCCTTATGTTTGTCTCTAGATAGGATTACGGATAGCAATTTTTCTTTCTTCTTGCTAAATCAGTGTTTTCTTATTTTTCTATACCTGACAAAATACCCTGCTATAACAGGAACCCAAACCTGTCTCAGCTGTGAGGTGTCTACTCCTATGGGCAGACAGGAAAGGCACCATTTTCCTCCCTCCTCAGCACCCATTCAGACAAAAGTGGTAGTAAGTATTCGAGTACCAATCTTAGGTCCCAGAGGGGCTTGTGGCCATGGACCCGTGGTTCTTCCTACAAGTGAGCACAGTATTCACAACATGAATGACAGGATGCGAGGTGGAAAGAACACACTATGCCTTCTTCAGCGGCCTCCTGGAACTCAGTCAAGACCACAGTGACCCTCGCAGGCCACGCCAATCCTTCCTCATCAGAAAACTACAACCTCCACCTGTCTGCCTCTCAGCCACCAGAGCTGGACATGGCTCCAGTACCCCTAGGGTCACCACCAGAACTGGACAGGGCCCTAGCATCCCTAGGATCAAGGGCACAGTCACCCCCTGACATAATGACCACACAGTGGGAACGGGCAGGGGCCATGGGGAAGGGTGGCAACATCACACCTGCTTACATGCCTCCTGCAACGTGCCACCAGAGGCGGGCCTTCTCAGTGCCATTTCTCACCTGGGCAGATGCAAGCCCTCAGCACGTGTGCTAGAGGCCCCAGGTTCCACAGTCTCCTTCCCAGAAAGTGCAGCACTTGTCTTCCATGGGGCAATTCTCAAGCATCCCAGTGTGACGGAAAGCAGCAAGTGTGGTTCCCACATGCAGAACCCATGGCACCCCTGTGTGAAGTACACTGTGAACTTGGCCACAGAAGTGACTCTTGCAGCCATTCTGCAACTGTCTGTTGGGGACTCCAGGGTCGGAGGCACATGCCTGGTGACTCTACAGAAGGCACATCATGCCAAGTGAGTGACAAGGACACCCCCCCAACAAGGTTCACGTCAGGGATGCTACCTTGGGCAGAAGGAACCGGCTGACCACATGGGGGCTTCTAACAGGTGCATCATTCATAGTTTTCAGGGCAACACTGCCCATGCCATTAAGCTCCTGAGACCTATGTGAGCAGGAATTTAAATGCTGATGTTCCAGAGTTACTAGGTGCTACCTTTCTGAACCCCCAGGCACAGAAGACAAGAATGGATCCAATGTTAGCATGTGTGTGAAATGCAGACCCTGGCTGGAGTCCCTGGAACTGTGCCTGGCATACAATCAAGGTTCAGGAAATGCTGCCTCTATTATTACCAAACACCAGAACTATCATGAGCATATACTTAAGGTAATATGTATATTCACAAAGTTATCAACCACATTAGCCAAATAATCATTTAATTCAAACTAAAAGCTCAATCAGAATGTCCTATTTGCCCACCAATTTTACCTATATAAAAATTCACTAGATAAGAAATACAAGCATAGGACTGAAAGCAAAAAAAAAAAAAAAAAAAAAGACTGTGAGAATCATGTCAACGCTGAAACATATTCTAGAATAAAATGCAATTATGTGCTCCTGACACTCTAGTAAGTACTCCTAAGTACAAAATGATGAGAGCACGTTCCTACTAAAACTGATCAGCATTTTTTAGAGTAAGTGAATAATAATATGCCAATAGACTAAAGTAGCTTAGAAGGCAATTAGTTCTGCTTCTGGCTGAGAAATAAAGCAGAAAAGTTTAAATAACTAAAATAGCTAAGGTTAACTTATGGATCTTTAATGCTGGCATTTCATTAAGCACGTGATAAGCAAGAGAGTCCTCAGCATTCTCTTCAACCCCTCAGAGAGCCTACGTGGCTTCACACTGCCCTGACCTCTGTGGTACCGCGGGGAGGGAAGGCAATTTAAGTCTCAACCAGAGGTGAAGAGCAGGCGACTTGGCCCTTGGCACATGTCTGACTGGGGGCTCTGCCGGGGCCTGAGGCAGATGGTCAGGAAGACTCCCGGACACCGGGCATGCTGACAACACTATCCCCTCCCAAAGAGCACACAGCCGACTGTTCCCTGAGCTCACCTGCATACTGGACCCTGGGCCTGAGAGTACTGCTCCCGGGGACAGATACTGCCTCTACCAACAGCCTGTCCTGGACCAATGTGCCACAGCCACGTTGATTTACCTGCATGTCCCACTATACCAGAGGGCATTTTCATGAGGATGCAGACGTTCAGACTCAAGTCCAAGGACACAATCAGTGAGAACATGAATGGGATATCCTGCGCCCTGGCCTGTACCCTTGGGACCCCTCTCTGCACAGTTCATTGACTCCTGCACTGCAGGGCAAGCTACACGATCTCTGTGTCAGAGATAAGAACAGAAAGACTGACGGGTCATGTACTGAAGTCACATGGCAGCACAGGCAGTGTGGCAACCCCGGCCTCTTGGTCTGTGAGCAATTTCTGCTACAACATGCGGGTGACCAAATCTGTGACATAAAATATCCTGGCAAAAGCACCTCAGAACAATGAATAATGAGGAAAGCATAAAATAACAGTAAATAAATAAGAATAATAATTCCTAAGGAAGTTCAAATTACAGCAATAAAGAATCCGTTTTTATATTTAATTGATAGAAAAGTAAAAAAAGAAGATCCATTGATTTGAAGGCTTCAGGAAAAGAGGCACTTCTTAGCTGCTGGTGAGCAACTGGCAACAAAGAAGCATTCTGCTCGCTGTCATAAAACAGTATTCCAAACCCAAGAATTCATCTCTAGGAAATCATTTTTTAAATAAGGAGATACGTGGAAAAAGCAGTTGATAATACCATTAACTTATAATACTGGGAACCTGGGCTTCCCAAACACCCGTCCCCGGACAAAATCAGTCATGGCATTCATTCCTTTACGTCACTTTACATCCTAGGGTGGGGTGCTCTGCATGTCTAAACCACAAGCCCAGCCCCTGGTGAAATACCTGCTTCATGTAGGCATAGCACATGGTCTCTGCGACGCGTTTGCCTTCATCATAGCAGGCCCGAGGTCCGATTGGATTCACGTGGCCCCAGTAATCTTCACTTTGAGGGTGGACTTCAGGATCTACGATGGGAGAAAAGCGAGACTGTTTTCATCTTTCCTTTTTCCAGTTCACATCAACAATGCATATTTATGATGCAAAAGGGAACTTTGGAAAGACCCAATTAGAGATGGAGCGATGTATTCAAGAGGCAGCCTCAGGTTTCCAGTCCATTCTCTGAATTCCAGTAGGACACGATGGTCTTACTTCTGATATTAAGCAATGACAACATTTTACTTACAGGAAAAGAAAAAGAAAAAGATCAAGTCTCCCAATTTTAAGTCTTCCCTCTCTTCTGTAATTCTTAACTTTCAGAGTGCTACACAAATTAGAACGAAATGGAATCTATGTGAAGAGCTACATGGTTTTGTTTTATACTTATAAAATCAGTAACTGGAGCAAAACATGTATTTATCGAAAAAATTAAAAACATAGCATCTCTGGAATACTATGACTTTGACATGCGCCATCAGCAGACCAAGTCTGGGACCCGTGATGAGACAACGTGGAGGCTCTTGTAGGGCAGGTGGAGGGATGGGGTGTCCCCTGGCAAATGGCTTCCTGTTCTTCTAGCACACATTTTACACTCCCAATTCCTGTTTCTCCAGCTTGTAAATCAATCACACTTTAAGACATACCAGGGGAACAGACTATTGGAAGAAAACACGTAACAATTTTTTTTTTTCACACAAGCATATTTCTGGAATGTGAATAAACACCTAATTATATTTAGTAACCAAGAATCTTATACATACTTGAGTACTACTATGATACAAAATGTTTAAGTCTTTGTCATGGAATCTGGACCAAAAAAAAGAAAGCATTGTTACAAATTCCCATCTTGTTTATCTTATCCCTGAGGTCTGACTTGGGACTCAGTGGGCCTGAGCAGGTGCAGGGAGGTAAACAGACAGGTATCCTGCCACATGTCTGCTCAGCCAATCCCTCCAGGTCAGCATAGCCTCTGTGGCAATGCAGAAGCGTGCTGCAAAGAAAGGGCTCTGTATCTGCTGCTGTGGTTTAAAATTCCCTTTAGAAGGGCAAACTTCTCCCTGCTCAGTGAGAGAAAAATTCTAAGGAAAATACTTTGAGAGAAGGGAACCACTGACTTAAATTCACAGAGATGTATCAGATGATTGTTCTCAGACCTTTTTCTGGGGATCTTTGACAAGAGCTGGGCAAGCTGCACTCCAAAAGAGACAGTCATAAATTTGGCAAAGGACAAGAAAGAAAAGGCTGGTTACGCCCATCTGTCCCTGGACTGGCACCGTCTGGACTGAAATGCCCAGGATGCCAAGCTTCTAAATAAGCTCCCTTACAAAAGCATTGTGGAGAAAAAACAGGGAAAACTTCCATTGTTAATACAAAAATAATTTTCAATCATCTCCCCTTTCTAGCATTCTGTGAGGCTAAGATGTTAAGCAAATGCTCCGCGCAAGTTTACTTTGGTTATTCAAGGTCAGAGGAGAGCACCTGTGCCTTCCACAAATTACACTCTCAATTATTTAGGAAGCCTAAGGAACACAGGCTCCTGTCAGACATGCAGATAATAAATGAGACAAGTGGGGGAAGCAGTGTGGGAAATGTCACTGTGCCCCTCTCAACAGATACCACAAGTAGGGAGGGGCACACTCTGCTCTTTTATTAACAACTGCTCAGGACTTCAAAAAGGTAGACTATGATATAAAATATATAATCTCTATGTAACCTTTTCATAGAGATTACAAAGAATATCACTACATTTAGCAGAATTTTTCTGTTGCTATGATTTTTTTATTCAGTCCTTACTTAAAATACACACACACACACACACACACACACACACACACACACACACACACCCCTCTTCCAATTTTACCCTCTTACTTCCTTCTCTTGTCCACAACAATAATGTAAAACAGAAAAATTACACCATGCCAGGACCTGGCTTCCACTGCATCAGCTAAGCAGTTCTCCTAACCTTGCACACCCAGCTGGTGTGGGGCTGAAGAGAAATCAGTACAGATTGAAAATATAGCCCCTGGTCCCCACTCCTCAACTCCTTTCCAGGCAGTGGGAGAGAGGAAGGCTGCATCGTGGTAAAACGATGAGTTTTCTGACACTACCTGCTTAAGGTTCTTCCAGAACTCGTTATACAACAGGGAAGGCAGTCAGTGCAGGTCTCTTCTCCCAGGAAGCTTTAAAGGTCAGCCTAAAGGCTGGCCCATGAGCTCTCAGGAGGTCAGGCATACGGCATGCATGACTTATACAGAAGAATGACGTGCTAGCCAAACAGGTAAAAAGATCCATAGAGAGCATGATTTCTGGGGTTCTTTCAGAGCAGAGTGGCAGAAACACTTCTGTGGAGTCATAAATGGTGGGTCTTTATTGGCCAGGTGACAGGGTACAGTCCTCCAACAGTGTGTGATCAAACAAGAGACGTCGTCCTACCCAGAGGAGAAGCTCAGTGACCCAGGAGGCTGACAGGCAGCCTCTTGAGTACAGGAGGAGCACGGGCAGGCTGGGCCTCCTCAGAAATGAACCTTGGACTCATCTGAGACAGGATGAGAACAGTCCAAGGGCTGGAGTGAGCATCCCCTGAGAGAGCCCCCACTCACCTCCATACACCTCGGACGTGGAGGCCAGGAGCAGGCGGGCGCCGACTCGTTTTGCCAGCCCTACAGAAAGCAAAGACAAGATAAAAGAGACTCAATGTACATGTGCAGGCACATTTTTTTGCTGGCCAATTTGAGCAATGTTTTAGTATTAAAGACATTTAATTATCTATCCAATTATCTGCTCTTACTGCATCTGCTTTGGCACCAAAATAAAAAACAAATGCAGTAAGAAAAACACAAATGGATTCTCAGAAGGCCAGTATTTTGTTGAATACTTGTTGTAAGTGAGGCCAAATGCGGAATCTGTTAGTTTGATAAAGTGTGATTTGCGGAGTTTTGTAAAGACTCCTCTGCCACAAAATATTACACAATATATTATTGGGTAACTTTACCTTGGTTGGCAGAGGCAAGGCCCTTCTCTCCTTAACTGCCACTTCCTGAACATATCCTGGGCTCTTGTAACTGCCCATGCCACCCTCTCTGGGTAACTCTCCACCCATTCTCCTTCCTCCTTTGAGGTTCAGCTTAAACAGCATCTTCTCCAAAGCAACTGCCACATTCCTGAATGCTGCTCTGAACCCCTTTCCTGGACTGACAACTCACATATAACTGACTAGAACATCATTATCTACAGTGGTCAAGTAAGTATGCAAAGTCTTCCAAACTCATTCACAGAGTCCCAGTATGCAGTGGTTCATTAGAGGCTCCAGGAAGCCCCCGACCTTCACTAACCCTGTATTTAAGACAGGGGACATACTCCTTTCCCAATTGCCACTACACTAGAGGGGGGCTGTGCTGGACACCTCTCAGCTCTGCCCCCTATGCAAAGCAGGGGCCAATACATGCCCACAAAGCACTGCTAGGAGAGTGAGATGAGGCAGGCAGATGCAACCTATACGCACTTCTAGGTGAGGCTAGAAGAATTCTAGCTTGAGGGAACCGGGGTATTAGCATGTCTGACAATGTAGTAGTATCAAAATGAAGGATGCTGAAATCTTTTTTCCTGATTGAATTCTTTTAGATATTTGTACATTCAAATTTAACTGTACAAAGTAATACAGGGACCTCATGTATCTTTTATCCAGTTTCCCCCCAATGCTAGAACTTGCAAAACTAGATTGTCACAACCAGGACATTGACGTAGATCTGATCAGTGAATATTTCCATTGAAACGGACATTCCATTGATACAAGTGATAGAGCATTTCCATCTCCACCAGGATCCCTCACATAGCCTTTCTATAGCCTCTCCTCTCTGCCTCCCTGCCGTCGCTGACCCCTGGCAACCACTAATTCTCCATGTCTATAACGTCATTTCAAGAATGATACATAATTGGAACATGACCTCTTGGGACTGAATTTTTTCACTGGGCACATTCCTCTCAAAATCTGTCCAAGCTGTAGTGTCTATCAACGGTTCCTTCCTAATCCATTGCTGTGTAAAATTCCAGGGGATATATGCACTGCTATTAATCATTCACCTAATACAGGACGTTCTGGTTGTTACTAGTTTTTGACCACTACAAATAAAGCTGCTATAAACATTCATACGGGTTTCTCTGTGAACATAAATTTTCATTTCTCTGGGAGAAATGCCCAAGAATACAATTACTGAGTCATATGGTAAGTGTGTAGTTTTTTAAAGAAAGTGTCAAACGGTTTTCCAGAGTAACTACATTTTATATTCCTCTACCTGAGATCTTCCTAGTTGTCTTCTCTGAACTTTGATCAAATACACACATAACAAATGCAATGTATTGTATTTCAAAAACAACTGAGTTTAAATATTTTGAAACCAGGACTATTTCTGTATCATTTTCATAGAATGATTTAGGCAGGATCCACGGAGGTAACTGTCAGAGAGTGAAGCCAGGGAAGCTATCCTGCTGCTGCAGTTTCTGGGTGTTACGAAAAGCTTTCATCAGAGGAAGAAGCCTAGCACAGGGTCTGCGAGGTGGGCAAGTTACACAGAGGAAGGAAGAAGCCAGGAAAAGTTCATGGCATCACAAGATGGTTAATGACAGCTCCTCTCAGTTCCGAATACAAAGTCCCATTTGGATTTCTTTCCAGCCTACCAATGGTCTCCCTTCACCTTCTGTCAACATCATTCCTGGAAGACTCTTTACCATTCCTGTGAGGCCTCCACATTCAATCTCAGTTATAGTTCAAGCCCTAGCTCGAGTCACGTTTGCCTTTAATAGCATTTTGCTGAGGCGTCTCTTGGGAACACTTTCCTACTAGGTATCACTGATGCTTGTGCCCATTCAGCAGCCCCTGTCTCCATGGGGCACCAAGTGCAGAACAGCCTGAGTGTAAACCCATCTGAATCTGTCCCACAGTGACAAGACCCACGGGGACAGTGACTGCATCCCCTAAATCGGAAGAATAAATGAAATCTCTTTAAACACCAAGTGCATGATGGGCTTTTCCTCTATGGTCTAGTTTTGGTATGAGGGAGGGGGGCAGGGCAGAGAGAGTGTAGGGAGGGGTGCGCACTTGTGATGGCAAGAAGGCACCACGCACACTTCAAAGCAGAAGCAGCAGCACCCTGTTCTGTCTAGTGACCAGATCAGGGGACAGTAACAAAAAAGATAAAGCTCTTTCCAGATTGGAAGAACGAATCATCTTACTCCAAACATTCTTGTGACCCTTGTGATGGTTTGTGTGTCAACTGAGGCCATGGGATACCCAGATAGCTGGCTGAACATTATGTCTGGGGGCATCTGTGAGGGTGTTCCCAGAAGAGATGAGCATTTGAATCTGTAGACGGTTAAGAACAGATAGCCCTCCAGAATGTGGGGGCATCATCCAGTCCCTTAGAGGCTTGACTAAAACACAAAGATGGAGGAAGGCCAACTACTTATGTAGAACATCGATCTTCTGCCCTTGGCTCTCCACTTCTCAGGCCTTTGAACTACACCCCCAGCTTTCCAGGGTCTCCAGCTTCCAGAAGGAAGACAGTGGGACTTCTCGACCTCCATCTTCATGTGAGCCAATCCCTTGTAACAAATCTCTTTAAATCTCTATATATCCCATCGGTTCTGTTCTTCTGTGGAACCTTGACTAGTACAACACCCTAAAATATTTAGCCTAAGAGATAAACCAATCTCTGACTGTCCTTTCACTCCCTTGACTCCATGCTTTGTTCAAATTAAACTTTAGTGCTGTCTTTCCCAAGTCTATTTGTAGAACCTGTATTAAATGTTCCTATACTTAAATCCATCATTTACCTGCCATTGTAAAAAGTGGTTCCTTTCTTCCACTTTGCAAATAATCAGAACCCCTAGTTTTTTTTAATAAACTGTGCCTAATTTAAGCATGCCCCTAATTTTAAACATTAATATGTACATATTACCCACAGCTATAAATCTAAGGCATGCCATTTGTGAATATACACATATGGCCACCCTTAACAATGCTCTCTCTTCTATCTTTCATGAATGTGAAACCTGAGGTCCAATCTAGGGCAGGTACTCAGTCTTGATAACACCCCATACAGACATCTCCACCCATTTCTTCAAGGAGCGCTACTGAATCACCCCTGTGTGTAAGGTCATGCCAACCCAACCTCGGGATCAGAGCCACCAGTGCCTCTTTCCAGCATGAGGCATGCCACTTATCCTCAGCATTCGTCAACTGGTTTCAGAGGTGAGGAGTGGGAAAGGCTGGGTGGTCGCTCACATGAAGAGCCTGTGGTCACTCCCAGGGGATCTACACCAGGGTGCTGCAGCCTGATTACTACAATGCATGGAAGTTAGACCATCTCCTTTATAGCATATTCTGCTGAGAAATAAAGTCATACTGCAATAACGCTGCAAAACCGCCAATGCCACAGGCAGGGCGATAAGGGAGGGGGGCAACACCCAGATCAAACTCTAGTAGAACATTCAATGGCCTATGCTTGCAATCATCCTAAAATTATCTCCAACAAGAGCCAAAAAACAAGAAAATGATAACTTACCCAACATGTTTAATGTCCCAATCGTATTGGTCTTTAATGTCTTGATAGGATTATACATGTAGTTTGGTGGGGAGGCTGGAGACGCCAGATGGTATATCTGGTCAACTAAAGGAGACAAAACAGAAGGATATTACTTAAAAGAAAAAAGTGCTAAAAAAAATTCTGACCTCCTAGGAGTTATACTGTATAATAAAGTTATTAGTATATCTTTCACTGAAATCAAGTTATCTTATTCTTTACATAAACTAATTTACATTTGTAATTAGAAACATGTTAAACAAAAATAGTCTAATTATCTGGAAACAAAAACATGTGCTGGGTCAGTTATTTCAGTATGTTCTCATGTAATCAGAGTCAATTCGATTACTGAGTTGATTGTTTTCTGAAATATCTGTCCCAGATAAAGCATTCAAATCAGAAGGAAGACTTTTTTTCGGACACAGAATTAAGCATGATTTTTTTTTTTTAAGTCTGTGAGGCAAATATGACTTAAAAGCAAAGACACAAAACTATGGGAGAAAGTAGCCTTTCCTTTTGTTTTTATGCATCCTGTATATATAAAACCAGACCCTTTGACGAATGGGGAGGCAGGGAAGGTAGTTTTTAAAGTCATGAATGGCAAAGCAATTCAGATTCCACACAAGCCCCAGCCCCTCCTACACAGGCATTCACTTTAATGTCACTATCCACAGCCCTCCAGCACTGATCCAGGTCAGGCTAACACCTGCACACAGCAGAGAAGTCCTCAGGGACCAACCTCTCATTGTAGAATGGCAGCAACAGACAAACACACAGAAGGAATGCCATCCTACCAGACAAAGTCCACGTCATGCCTTTCTACTTTAGCTACAGATGAGGAAACAGACTCAGCATCCACAGGAGAGTAAGGAACAGGGATCTGAAAACTCTGCTGCCAAAATGAGTCCTCCCTTGCACATGGATATGTAAGAAGACCTGCAGGAGCCCCTCTGCCGGGCCTTCTGGGCTCCTCCTGACCAGCGGACTGCTGCTGTACTCCCTTTCCCAGTCCTGGGAGTGGAAGAGCTGAAGATCAAGCCCTTGAGCCACAGCAGATCAGTCTGGAGGTTCTCAATCAATCCTGACTGTGCACTAGTCACCCAGTGAGGCAATGCCTGGGTCCCCAACACCCTGAAGCAGGCTGGGAGACACTGGACCTTCCTTCATGTACATAAAAAATATATATATAAACATTTGAAAGCCAAGTCTGAAAACTAGTGAGTTAATTTAAAAATAGAACCAATGCATATGGAAAGAAAAATCTTTTTGTAAAGAGAACTAAGAAAACACAAAATCTTTAAAATTATTGATGGTCTGTCAAGATTCAAGTTCACTTAAGGGATCTGTCCAAGTAAAAGGAAATCCTGTGACTGCTGTTCCCACCCCCACAAGTTATTCTGAGCTAATAAACAGCTAAAAATAAAAGATAAACTAACATTCCACTACACAAATTGTAATTTAACGTGATACCTTTTAAAAATTGGTTCTCACAAAATCCCATAATTCTAAAGCCAAGCTATCTTTTGCAGCTTCCAGCTAGGACCAGCATAGACCAGGTAAGTTTCTGTACACCTGCTTCCAAGCTCAAGGGCTGCAGGTATAAGCAGCAGACCATTAACCCCAGAAATAGGCACTGTGCTGCCTCCTCTGAAGATGCCTCCTCACACCCACTGCCACCCTGGAGCAGGACCATGCCAAATTCAAAACCAAATGAGGGCCGGGTGCAGCGGGTCATGCCTGTAATCTTAGCACTTTGGGAGGCTTAGGCAGGTAGATCACTTGAGGTCAGGAGTTTGAAACTAGCCTGGCCAACATGGTGATACTATTAAAAATATACAAAAAAAAGCTGGGCATGGTGGCAGTTGTCTATAATCTCAGCTACCTGGGAGGCTGCGCCAGGAGAATTACTTGAACCTGGTAGGTGGAGGCTGCAGTGAGTCAAGACTGCACCACTGCAGGGCAGCCTGAGCAACAAGAGCAAACTCCATCTCAAACGAACAAACCCAAACAAGAAAAACAAAACAAATGAGCTTGGCCAGACCTTCGGAATTGAGTACGACACCACAGAGCCCACTCAGGTGTGCTAGAACTGGAGCCTGCTGTCACCTGACTCGCACTCACAGACATTTCTGTTTACACAGACGGGGTCACCCTACGTTCCTCAGAGAGAGTGTAAACAACTCTGTATGGGTTCGGATGTTACAAAACAAATTATTCATCACTATTTTTACTCTTGAGGTGACAAGGGATATAGGGAAAGTCAGGAAACTGCATTAAAGGCTATAAGGGAAAAAGTGTGCCTTGAGAGTACAGGATATCTCCCTGACATCAAACAGAAAGCCACTACCATTAACCCTGCACTCTTCCATCCTTCTCACTTGATCCAGTCCTGGCTTTCTTCTTCAAAGCTCAATGCAGAGGAGCGGGGAAGGCTGCCTGTGGGAAACCTTCTCCCTGTCCCTGGTCAGAAATAATTCCTTGTCTGCACTGCGAGTCCACCACAGCTCAGCGCTGCCTTGTCCAGAGATTCACACATGCCTTTCTCACTAGACGATGAGCTGGCTGAGCACAAGACGCAGGCCTTTCCCTTCCTAACGCTCCCCACACAGTGTGGACTCTGCAGGGAGGCGAGGCCCCCTCGGTCACCTCGGGCACCCACAAATACAGACTTCTGAGCCCACTGCAGGTCTCACGCTTCAGGATTTCCAGGAGGGCCTGGAAACCTTCCATTTACAACAAATATCCCTCCACACTGCTCTGGCCCAGGCCAGTCTGGGAACAGGGCTCCACAAAAGTTAGCTGAGAAGAGTAAACTGGGATTTTTCCATCCTCATTGGACAGGTCAGCCCCACTGCTACTCTGGAAGGCTGAGGGCTGCCCCATTAAACTGTCGAGATGTTCAGTTACGTAGCAGCACTGCTGCAACCTCCCATTTGAGAGGAACCTGAAAACCATATGAAAATCAAAGTTCCCTACCACCACCCTCTCCTCTGAGAATGCGTTCTTCCTATAACATTAACTCCAGTTCCTATCCTGAAAAGGGCACTGCATGACAGTCTTTTGGTTAAATAATCTGGTGAGAAATTCTGAAAGGCAGAGAAAAGGGGAAATTCAGAGAAGGGACAAATAACCGGCAGCAATGAGAGGTGCTGGGTAAACACTAAGTAACCACTAAGTAAGTTACTAACAACCAGCTTTGGAATGTAAATAAAGCAGCAAAGTTAACCCTCACAGCCCAGGACAAAGGCTCTCAGAACATGTTAACTGTGCAGTTCAGAGTACACCAAGAATGAGCTCGACATTCCAAAATCCAAGCTGAGGTGGGGAGGGGAAGCCAAAGGGGGACAGAAAGGCAGCCCATTAATGGATGCCCGCACAGCCGCTCCATGCTGACCGCTAAGAGACCCTGCCACAACCCTTCACACATTTACAAGGCCATGTGCCGGGAGCTCAGGTAAAAAAATAGAAGTCTCAAGAAATGAGGCTAAAAGAGCTCCAATTAATGATAAGCAGCATTCCTACCAGAATGCTATGTTGGGGAGAGGCTGGGTGAGGGGACAGCTGAGACTTACTCGACCCTTCTGTGAATTCTGACCGGAGAAATCCAACCAGTCAAACCACAAATGAACTCCTTTAGAGGGTCTTAGGTTGAATTTCACTGTGCTTGAAACCCACATAAATGACACATAAATAGGGGGAAAAAAATCACCGTAGGACGAGAACAACTCAGGATTTCCCAAAAGCAATGTTCAGAATGCATCGGAGAAATCAAGCATTTTCTTCTACCAAAGCGGACAAAGGGGAAATCCACATAAAAACTGACTGCAGCTTCCGCTCCTTTGCTGATTTTCTTTTTAAATTTTGTCTTAAGTTTGTGACATAGTCTGTGTCAAGCCTCCTTCTGTACCGTGCCCACGCTCTGTGAAACTGCCAAGGGTCAGTTAAGGATTTACACCGTGAAACTGAAGACGACGGAAACACTAAAATGCAAAACAATGGGTTAGTTCTTTTTGTGAACTCACTTGATTATTTAGCATATACGAAATTCCCATCATAAAAGACACCTGCAGTAGAATTCTCTTTTGCTACATTCTGAGTCAGAGGCCTTGCAGAAATTCTCCCCAACAAGATGTCCCCCTCTGCAATGAGAAGTCCCACAGCACGGCCCTAGCTTTTGTCTCCAGCAACAGTATTTAGGATGGAAAATAGGAATGAAGAAGATACAGAACTTCTCAAAGTATAAAGACCAAATTTCTCCCAGCACAAAGAAGCAAAAGAGCAAGATTTTGCCTTGAGTTCATGTCAAATGTATTTACTTAGGACAAAGGCTGCACACGCTAGAGACTGGCTCAGCCCCCGGGAGCTGGGGATGCCTGCCAGTGCTGCTGGCTTCTGACAGAGGTGCTCACCTTCCCTGTGAAGCCACCGCAGGGGAAAGCATTTCCAGCATCCTGGGTTGCTCCATAGGCAGCCCCCACAGGTCCAAATTAAACAGAGGGCAATCTCCAAGAGACGCCACTGCTGTTTTATTTACATTTGCAATATAAACTGAAAGTTGAGAAAAAAAATTCTAAATAATACTTCAACAAAAATATTCTAATCACAGCTGCATGTTTTAAATGTCTACATCAACACTGACTCAATCCCCTTGGCAAACACTGTTTCCTCCCCACCTCTCTAAGGTGGGTGCCCAGGGTTGATGGCTCGGCTCTCCTGTCTTCCCTCTCCTGGTGCCCCGGCCCTCCATAGGAATTGAGCATCCAGGTAAAAGGCAGGTAATGAAAAGGGCTCCATGCACCGGTTCCCTCACCTATAAAATGAGTAAAATAGCTGCCTATCTCGCACTAGTACTGATAAAATTAAACTTTCGAACCATAAACAGGGATTAGAATAGCACTTAGAATATAGTTAAGTGTTAGCTATGGTCACTTTCTTTTATTTTCCCTGACCTCGTCAACAGAGATACTACGAGTTCCCAGTACCGGTCTTCCCATGACACAATGCACATTTCTGCCTTTTCTTTTTCCCCATGGAAATGCTGGTCTCAAGATCCCTGTTTATACAGATGGTAGAAAAGTAAATTGGGACAGAATTTCAGAGAAACACAGGTGCTCTACAACAGGACCCTGGGAAAGCCAGCGCCCTATGAAAATGATGACAGAGACACAGATGTGTGGCTTTCTGAAGCATGGTTTACAATGACTCCAAACTGCAATCAACTTAGAGATCAAACACAAGACTAAGGAAATTACAATATATTCATAAGAAGGCAACTTGCTAACAAGTAATGCTGAGGGGGAAAAAGTCCATGTCTTTGCAAAGAGGTCTACCTAGTATGGCGACAAAACAGAACACTAAGCAGCTGCCAGAAAAGCTCTCTGTAAGATACAGAAAGATCACCAGGACACAGTAAGTGGGAGAAAATAAGATGAAGGACAATACATAATAAATTATGTAAAAAGGGAGAACTATAAATAGCTATCTGTATTAGCTGGGTCACATACAGACACTGCAGATGAATACAAAGAAAGGATCAACAGCTGTTTCCTGAGGAGAGCTGAGAACTGGCAAGAGGGAGACTTTATAGTTTTATCTTTTCCATGTTTATATTTATTATGTATGTATTTATTTTGGAGACAAGGTCTTACTGTTGCCCAGGCTGGAGTACGGTGCAGTCATGGTTCACTGGGCTCAAGTGATCTTCCCACCTCAGTCCCCTGGGCAGCTGAGACTACAGGCGCACGCCACCATGCCTGGCTAATTTTTGTAGAGAGAGAGTTTTGCCATGTTGCCCAGGCTGGTCTGGAACTCCTGGGCTGAAGCAATCTGCCTGCCTCAGCCTCCCAAGGCACTGGGATTACAGACATGAGCCACCATGCCTGGACATCTCTTATTTATTTTTTAAAATAATGGAACCATATAACCATATTGCCTAGTAAGCATGTTTTTAATTTGAAAAAAAAAAAAAAAATCACATTTAGGAAAACAACTGGATGTTAGCTTCAACAGTGTTTTGTTTTTCTTTTTTGAGATGAGGTCTTATTTTGTCACCCAGGCTGGAGTACAATGGCACTATCTTGGCTCACTGCAACCTCCTCTTCCTGGGTTAAAGTAATTTTCATGCCTCAGCCTCCTGAATAGCTGGGACCACAGGTATGCACAATCACACCTAGCTTTTTGGAGTTTTGGCAAAGACCAGGTTTCACTGTGTTGCCCAGGCTGGACTCAGACTCCTGAGATCAACTGACCCACTCGCCTCAGCCTCCCAAAGTGCTGGGACTATAGATGTGAGCCACCGCGCTCACCCAACTTCCTCAACAGTTTATAGAAAAATTAAAAATAATTTTCTATTTGCTTTGCAAAATAGTTTTCTACATTTTATTTAACATGTATGTATTATTTTCTTCATCAGGAAAAAAAGATTCTTTTGAAAAGAGAAAAATATTTCAGATTGTCTTCCATCTCATTCTTTATCAAATATGTAAACAAGAAACCTAATTCTTTCATTTAGTTCAAAGTATTTTTAATTTCTCTTGAGATTTCTCCTTTGTCCCATATGCTACGTAGAAGTTTATTGCTTTGTCACTAAATATTTTTGTAATTTTCCAGGTATCTTTCTGTTACTAATTTCTAGTGTAAGTCCACTCTGGTCTGAGAGGACACTTTGTAGGATTCTATTCTTTCAAGTTGGTTGAGGTGTCTTTTATAGCTCAGAATGTGATCAGTCTTGAGAATGTTCCATATCAGCTTAAAAGGAAGGTATCTTCTGGCATTGTTGGATGAAGTGGGCATTGTGGGGGCAGGAAGAGTGAAGAGATGGAGGGGGAGCAAGGGGGAAATTATCAAGCACACAGAAGACCTGATGCTATGGTTGAGGACCCACTGAAGGAGAAAGCAAAAAACAGGCTTCAAGCTATGGAGGCAGAGAAGCATCTCATGCTCTCCCAATATAAATGTCGAGTGAGGGAATGCAATACTCCGAGCAAAGGACCAAGCATCAGTCATTTATTGTATGACTTCATTCAGTGCGTGGGCGTGCATGTTATTTGTATGTGTGTGTGCATGTTCTACACACAGTCACAGAATTGGTGGAAATGGCCTAGAGCAGCTGTGGTATCAAACCTTGCAGTTAAAGAAGATAATTTACTTATTACAACACCATTTTTACTAAGTTCTGGCTTCTTAGTAGCACTGAAATTACGTAAACAATAGTGTCATAAAATAAATGTTTCTTGCCATGTGCAAAAAAAGAGAAGAGAGTAATAATATTAAAAGGTAGCATTTGGAGAGCACTTAGTGAAATGAGGGCCCAGTACTGTGTTAAGCCCACATAGTAGTTTTCTGTTGCTGCCTAATCAAATTCACAGGCTCAAAAAATAACCATTCACAATCTGACAGGTCTACAGGACCAGGCACAGTGTGGCTCAGCTGGTTTCAGCTGGTTCTCAGCTCTGCCTCCCCGCAAGAAGAATTCAAGGCGCCAGCAGGGCTGTGTTCCTGTCTTCAGAGGATAATTCAGGATGATGGCAAAATTCAGTTCCCTGAGGCTGCAGGACTGAGGTCGCCTTATAGACTCTCAGCAGGGAGCCGTTCTTAGCTTCCAGAGGCTGCCAACACTCTCTGGCTCATGGCTCCTTCAAAGCCAGGCAGGGTAGGTCAGATAGCTCGCACATTCTCCAGCTTCCCTTCTGCCTGGTCTCCCCATGATATCTCTTCTATCCAGTCTCTCTACCTGACTCTTCCATTCTCTGTTGCTGCCTTTGACAGCTCAAGTGACTATGTGGGGGCTCACCCAGATAATCCAAGATCATCTGCATTTTAAAGCCAGTTGGTTCATAACCATGATTCCATCAGCAAACTCCTGTCACAGCAGCACTTAGCATCTTCGGTTGAACATTGGGAAGGGGCATCTTGGCAGGACACTGTGAGAATGTCAAGCCCTGTCACATGCATGACTTCAGTTAACTCCACAGAGATCCCAGGAGGAAGTCCAAGAGGAGAGTGAGCCCACTGATCTATAACCTACATAGCTTGTTACACTTTATAAAATCACCATACAAAAACTACAGCTTCACCCCAAAATGAATCCCAAATATATTACATAATTGAATGTTTAAAAATGAGGCAAAAAACCAACCAACAAAAGAACACCATGTCTGTTTTCTAAATATTAAATTAAATATTTATCTAATCTTAGAATGGTTAGAGCATAAAGAGAACAGAAGAAATAGCAAAAGGGATATGAACAGATGATACTATGTTATACAATTTCAATCAAACAAAAAGGTAAAAACTACATTGTGGGAAAAATGCTAAATACAAGCCCAATAGTTAACATTCCTATTACAAAGAACTCATACTAAAAGAATATTTTCAAAATGGATTAATAAAACCATTTGTGTTTCTTGGATGAATTAACATGTTAAAGTCTAACCGTATTTAGTAACCAAAGAAATGTACATTGAACCACTGGTTTTCTATCAAATGAGCAAGATCGAGGTGTTGGCAGACTGGGTGCTGGTGAGAACCTGCTTTCTGGTTCATGTATGCATCTTCTCGTCATGTCCTCACACAGTGGAAAGGGCAGGGGGGCTCTCCGAAGCCTCTTTTATGAAAACACTACTCCCATTTGTGAAGGCTCTGAACTAATCACCTCCAAAGGCCCACACTTCCTAATACCATCACTGTGGTGCTTGGAAAGCCAACATACGAATTTGCGGGGACACCAACAGTCGGATTGTAGCAGATGTGTACTACGGCAAGGCACTTGAATAGGTCCACGAGGCTCAGGACTGAGGGTGCCATGTAGGAGAGGAGACAGCTATCCACACTGTTACAACCACTCCTTATCACAAAGACTAGGACAGCACGACAGCACCTCATACACTGCGAGACATCTCAAAAATAAAACCCAACATAGCATTCAACGTGCTGAGTCAGACAGCTTACCCTTGGAGATCCCACAGCTCTGGCGAGGCCACCTGCAGAGCTCTGAATGATAAAAAGGTGCAGTTTTCACTCACCCTCGATGTAGAGGGGCTCCACCACGTCGTGGTTAATCAGCTCGAAGTTCTCATGTCCAATCCAGTGCTCCACATTTCTCTTCCTGCCCGTGAAGAAATTGTCCACCACCGTCACCTCGTGGCCATCCATCATGAGTTTGTCAGTTAGATGGGAGCCCACGAACCCTGCACCTCCGGTTATCTGCATCCGGACAGCATGTGCAGAACATTCCCAGAAAAAGCACATGAGAACGCAGTGAGGACCAGCTCCACAGAGAGACATCTCTGGTGCAGCCACCACTTAAAACTCAGGAGCAAGGTGGGGAAGGAAGACAGCAAAGGTTTTAAAGTAGCATCGTGACTCTTACTGCAGAACAAAGAGGCCACACTATCTGTAAACTCCTAAGCAGCCTTAAATTTCAAACTACCACTCTGGGAAGAAACAAAAATCACAGTTACAAATTTCAAAATGTCTTCGTTGACAGAGAATTTCCCGTTAGTCAAAGGTTCTTGTTTTATAACAAATGGGATGCTGGACATAGCTCACATGGCTTTAATATTACTGCTGAGAACTTTAAAAATTTCTTTATAGAAAAAATGATTCACAAAATGCAGAGATTTGGTGAACTACCAAAAAAAAAAAAAACCCAAAAAACCTTAATATTTAAGTTAGATTCAAAAACCTCATGAAAAATGAGTATCTTTTAAATTGTTTACGAGAATGAATTAATAAGCAATACATGCTGTTTGTAGACTAAAGGCCTAAACGTGTAAGTCCATTGTGTGGTTAATTTCTGAGTGGTGACGTGAACACTTCGTACAAAGTGTGGTGAGGCAGCTATGAGGGGTCTTGACAGGAAGTCAGTAATAAAAAAACCTAGATGACTGCAAAGGTGAAAAGTCAACTGGGCTTGAAAAATACTTTTAAGTTGAACACAAGTATTTTATTCAAATGAAATGGTGTAACTAGAGGAGGATAAAGGGAATTTCATCTGGGGGAAGGTTATCGGCAATGGGAGTGAAAAGAATAGGTTTAGAAAACAGACTTGCCATGTGCAACTCAATTCTCTAACCTGCTCTATCTTGCTCTTCACTCTGCCTTCTCTTCACCAAAATTCTCGTTCATTTTGCCCTTCTGTTTCAAACTGAAAGAATTAATGGGAAAACAGCAATTCTTTCTACCTAAAATAAAAAGTACATGAACTCCCAGGTCTATGGTTTTAAAATATGTAATTCTCCATGAAACTCCTATTTAAAATAAATAAAATCTCACACTTGAAATATTCATCATGGGCGAGAGTAAAGCCACCTGGATTTGGCTGGAATGGTAGCTCACACCTGTAATCCCAGCATTTTGGAGGGGGTCCAAGACAAGTGGATCACTTGAGATCAGGAGTTCGAAATCAGGAGTTCAAGACCAGTCTGGCTGACATGGTGAAATCCTGTCTCTACTAAAAATACAAAAAATTAGCTGGACATGATGGCTGTAATCCCTGTAATACCTGCTAATCCCTGCTACTTGGGAGGCTGAAGCAGGAGAGTCACTTGAACCCAGGAGGTGGAGGCTGCAGTGAGCTGAGATCCCATCACTGCACTCCAGCCTGGGTGACAGAGTAAGGCTCCATTTCAAAAAAAAAAAAGAAGCCACCTGGATGAAAAATATCAGGGATAGAAGAGGAGAAGTAAGGAGGGGCTACAACTAAAAATGAAATCTGGGCTGGGTGCAATGGCTCAGGCCTGTAATCCCAGGTCTTTGGGAAGCCAAGGTGGTGGATCATTTGAGGCCAGGCATTCGAGATTAGCCTAGGTGACATGGTGAAACTCCATCTCTACTAAAAACACAAAAATTGGCCAAGTGTGATGGCACACGCCTGTAATCCCAGCTACCAGGGTGGCTGAAGCACAAGAATCACTTTAACCCAGGAGGTGGAGGTTATAGTGAGTTGAGATAGCACCATTGCACTTGAGTCTGGGCAACAGAATGAGACTCTGTCTCATAAATATATAAATACCCTAAGTCTCCCTAACCGAGTAGACCCCCTCTTGGCCAAATGAGACCCCAGAGAAACCTGAAAGTTGAGTTCCCAGCCATGATGGGAAGGGAGATTGGACACACCTCATTACACTTTCTCTTCTGGAGTTCAGACACAACTGACGAATGTTAATGCTAGAACAGAGATCATAAGCAGGACCAAGGGTTGTGCCAGACAGGAGCAAAGTCACATCCCTCTGGGTTGCTCTGACCCAGTGTACTGGTGAACCGACTTCCTTGTCATAACTTAAATATTTCTTTCTGCTGACTCCAAAGTTTTAGGCAAAGATTAACTACTTTAACTAATTACAAAGTAAAAAAAAAAATCTCTGATCCAGGGAAGTCGAGGCTGCAGTGAGCCGCAATTATGCCATTGTGCCTAGGTGACAGAGAGAGAACCTGTCTCAAAATAAATAAAATAAACAAATAATCTCTGAACCCACCTGAACCTGTCAGCCCCACTTCAAAACAGCCTTTTTGGGCCAAATCAATGTAAAAGCCCCATATATTGATTAATGCCTCCTTGTAACTTCTGCCTCCCTAAAATGCATAAAACTAAACTGTAACTCGACTGCTTCAGGCACACTTACTCAAGGCTTCTTGGTTTTGTGTTTCTCGGGGCGCAGTCATACTGGCTCATAATAAACCTCTGAAATATTTTAGAGTTTTGTTTTTCAGTTAACAAAGCCAACCTCAAGAATAACCATCCCTTAACCACCACCTAAATATTTACATATGCTCTGAGGAAATGCAAATAAAATGGTTAAAACAGGATGGGTGAGAGCAGGCATCCTCATGCTTGATAGCTTTCATTTGGCTTTACCAACAGCACCATTTTCCAAATCCCCTTTGCCTTAGAGATAAGAAACTGACACCCAGAGAAGTTATGCCTTTGACTAAAATCCTCAGAGATCACTAGCTGGGACGGACTAAAGCTACAGTCTTTCTAATTATACACTCTCTACCACTTGTCAAGTTGTCTAGTTGGTGTTTCATCTTAAGAGCTCCCATATTCTACCACTAGACCTGAACAGTGACTATGAAAAAGGATTTTCCAGAAAAATAATTGAAATTCAAAGTTGACTCACCACTAGAGCTTAACTCACAGGATGAGATTTCATTTTCTCTTCATGTTACTGCATTTTCCCAAGTTTTCCATGATTTTTATGTTTTTTAAAAACTGCAACTTTTTAAAAGAAATTTAGCCCCTTCAGGATGGGCGTGGTGGCTCACACCTGTAATCCCAGCACTTTGGGAAGCCGAGTCTGGTAAATCACGAGGTCAAGAGATCGAGGCCATCCTGTCCAACATGGTGAAACCCTGTCTCTACTAAAAATGTAAAAATCAGCTGGGCATGGTGGCACCTGCTGGTAGTCCCAGCTACTCGGGAGGCTGAGGCAGGATAATCGCTTGAACTTGGGAGGCAGAGGCTTCAGTGAGCTGAGATCATGCCATTGCACTCCAGCCTGGCAACAGAGCGAGACTCTGTCTTGGGTAGGGGGAGGGGGTGTGGAATTAACCCCTTTTAATGTAACTGTTTATGTGCAAATATTTCTGAAAACAAACTGTTCAGTGGAATTCTAACATAATCTCTGTGCCCAAAATACCTGGCAGACAGTTCTGACATAACAGAGGTGCAGCATATTAAATTATACACAATCACCTACAACATCACACTAGTCTTAGTACTAATGTAAAATTGTTAGAAGCACCTTGGCTTGACTAGAATGCATTGGAATTGTTTTTCTGTAGTAATTTCCTTCTACCTAAAATACTTAAGATTTATATAACGTAGCTGGATGGTTATGCAATGTTTTTATCCTAATCAATGTTAGCCCATAAGGCAAGTGTTTCAAGTAGAAACAAATTTGGTGAAAGCTTAGCACTTACAAAGCTTCATCAGGAACATTAATCACCAAACCCAAGGATACTCTTTGAATAACAAAGAGCTAATATTCAAAAGAGAGTAGGGGAAAAGAAGTAAGATCTCTTACACTGAGATGGATTAGAACTTACACAGCTTTGCATGGCTTTCCAGAGTAGGGGTTTATCTCGGTGTGCTTTCTTGCTCTCTTTTGTGGGTACCAATAGGCAGCTGAAGTGGTCTAGTTCAAGGTCAGCATTCAAACTCATGATGCTTGGCAAATTAGCAAAAATGATGTATTTCAAAGCAAGCTTCCTCTTTCTGTTGAAGCTGTCCTAAGGCTTAGCAAGTACCGAAAAGGCTTTAAAAGTTACAGCAACAATATGTCAGACCTCACATGCCAAATGCCTCTGAAATGTTTAACCTATGAGATGACAGATGAGGGGAAAAAAAGTGAGTCTGTTTGCTGTGGTGATGTGTAAAGCAAAATAAATTCTATAATCCTCAGCACTGACGGGAAGATCATTCCATGTGCACATAATAAAAATCATGGCAAGATTTTGCAACATTCATGGATCAGTGCTGCTGTGCTTTTAATGTGTTCATCAAAAGCATGTTTTGATAACTTAATCCCCAATGCCACAGTGTTAAAAGGGGTGATTAGGTCATAAGGTGAAGTAAATGGATTAATGCCATTATCAGAGGAGTGAGTTTGCTATTGTGGGAGTATGTTCCACACAGAAGCTCGAGTTCAGTCCCTTTGGCCTCTCTCTTGCCCTCTCTTTGCCCATCTACTATGTGATGACATAGACACAGCAAGAAGACCCTCACCAGACCACAACCCCTTGATCTTGGACTCCCAGCCTTTAGAACCATGAGCCAATAAATTTCTGTTATAAATTACCCAGTCTTAGATACTCTGTCATAGCGGCACAAAAAGGACTAGGACAGAAAAAGGGCACCAGAGAAATGGGTTGTTGCTTATACAAATACCTGAAAATGTGGAAAAAGCTTTAGAACTAGGTAACGAGTAGGGCTGGAAAAAGCCTAGACTTCTGTGAATGGAGTGTTAAAGAGATGGTGGTAAGGGCTCAGAGAAGAGCTGTAGAGAAAGTCTTGAACTTCTTAGAGATTACTTGTAATATGATTGTGATCAGAAAAATTGTGGAAATATGGACATTAAAGGCCATTCTGATGAGGTCTCAGATGGAAGTGAGGAACACATCACTGGAAACTAGGGTAAAGGCTCTCATTATTACAAAGTGGCAAAGAAACTTGGCTGAAATGTCTGTGTCCCCTGGCTTTA